AATAGACTCTCCTCTACAATTCCATTTTGGCAGGAAGTCTTAACACTGAATGGTTGTGTTGTTAAAGTGTGAAGTATGGAAACCTGCACAGACAGTTGGTCAATGCAACTTTAGCAATGTGTAGTCATTGAATTCTTGATAGCAGAACGTGTCACCCCAAAGGAGATTCATCAGAGAATGCAAGCTGTTTATGGTGATTGTGATGATGGGAGTACTGTGCATTGTTGGGTGAGAAAATGTAAAGATGTTGAACTGGGAACATTGGACTATCATCTGACAAACAAAGAGTTGGACGTCCTGTGACAGCAACCACCGAGTTTCATCACCCAACCATGCACAGCACTCACATCAACACAATCACCATAAACAGCTTGCATTTTCAGATAAATCTCCTTTGGGGTGACACCTTCTACTGTCAAGAATTCAATGACTGCACGTTGCTTAAGTCACATTGACCGACTGTCTGCGCAGGGTTCCATACTTCGCAGTTTAACAGCACAACTGTTCAATGCTAAGGCTTCCTGCCAAAATGGAACTGTAGAGGAGAGTCTACTGAACAAGCCAGTACCTGCCGCATACCAGTACTGCCAACTGTTGAGGAGTTACGAAGGTGGAGGCAATACTTTTCATTCAACCCTCATAGTTTTGTTTCAGTGTTTGTATATTTTAACTTGCATGCTTATGCTTTTATGTTAAGCAACTTTGAGACTCCTTCGGGAGGGATAAAGCAGGCTATAAATAAATATAATTATTGGGTTGCTGTGAGTGTTTCAGACCAGCATACCTGTGTTTTCAAATAGTATTCTATGTCCAAGTTGGTTTATCATGGGCTCTGCTATAGCTCTAACCAGTGCAGGAGTCTAATGTATACACTGCAGCTGTGGACAAGTCTACATAGGGACCACCAAACACAGAGACAAATCAAGGAACACAAAAGGCACTGCAGGCTAATTCAAGCAGAGAAATCAGCTATAGCGGAGCATGTGATGAACCAACCTGACTGCACTTTGCTTAAGTCACATTGACCAAACGCCTGTGCAGGGTTCCATACTTCACAGTATAACAACACAACTGTTCAATGCTAAGGCTTCCCACCAAAATGGAACTGTAGAGGAGAGTCTACTGAACAAGCCAGTACCTGCTGCATACTAGTATTGCCATCTGTTGAAGAGTTACGAAGGTGGAAGCATTACTTTTCATTCAAACCTCGTATTTCAGATAGCTGCTCATGTTTCCATTGAAACCCAGTTGTTCTTGCACCCTCCGCAAAACTAAAGGAACTACATGGCACCAATTCCCTTCACCATCACACATCGGACACATCCCTGGATTAATCAGAGAGGGCCCAAACCACGTCCAGAGACCTGTATGGTATCGTCGGCGTATGAACATGGACAAAACAAAACACTATTATTATAGCATTATGCTCAAACCAGCCTTAGTTCTTGTTGCATCAGATACACTTCTAGCTTGTTTCCCAGGCTTCGAACTCTGGCCGAAGAAGGACAAGGAAACCAAACTAAGCCCAAAGGAAGGACACCCTCTCCGGGGAGAAGAAAAGCAACCCCCTCGCTAAGAATAGAGCATATCCTCAACACATGCGGAGTAAATAACTTGGCTTTAAAAACGCTCTCTCCTGCTTTCTCTAGAAATAAATACGGACTTTCTTGCAGTTTCTTCAGGTTTCCTGTGCTGTGCCAAAAGCAACACGTTTCTCGTTGCTGCCGGAAAAAACTCGCGTGATTAAAAGTCTTATCAAAACTCAAAGAGGTGGTGTTCACAAATTTCCCCCATGTTTGTCCCTCTCTGTTTGTTAGCTCTTTATTGTTTTTAAGATATGATAGATCTTTGCTGGTTTTTCTGAGGCATCCTTTGACTGCAAATCCCTCTCTTGCATCTTCATGGCAATAAGACAAAAAGGAATTATGAGCCAAACGGCTGCTGTTGTTGCAAAGACGAGCCATGTCCTTTCTCCCGGAAAGTCTGCATTTCCTGGAATGTCATGCATCTCGAGACAGATAAAATCCACAAATCTGGAAAAGAGTGGCTTTTGTGCTCCCGGAACCAGAAAAAAAAATCAATTTTGTGCCGATTGTAGATCATATTTATGGAATAATTAATTCGGAGAGTTGGTTTCAACAGGCAGTGGAAAATAGATTTAAACAAGAATTGATTTTGGCAGCTTTTAGTCTGGATCAAGATCCCACATACATTTTATGAGTCTAAATTTCACCTCGTATTTTTCCTTTTACTAAACATCCAGGAATTAATAATGCAGCTTGACACCACTTTAATTGCTGTGTTGGGAGCAACGGAATCATGGGAGGTATAATTTCTCAAGTCTTCTTGAAAAACTTTGGAACTCATTACCTGGAGAGATCAGGAAAGCACCTTCATGAGAAACGTTAAAAAAGAACCTTAAAACCTGGATCTTCCGCTGCGCTTTTGGCGAGTAGGTGCACAACATGACACTACTGCACCCCTCAACGCTTTTGCCACTAGAGTACACACCCTCCAAATGGGAAGTTTAGCTTCACAACTCTGCTCGTTTTTATGAGTTCCCTGTAAATAACCTGCTCCTATTTTTTAATCTCATTAGAGTTTTTTAATCGTTTTATCTTGCACATGTGGCCTGCCCATTGTTATCGTGATTGTGTTTATTGGAATGTTATTGTATGACTATGTTATCCTTTTTTCCTATATAATTTTGATGATGTTGTTTGTTGTTTATGCTTTGCTTTTATTTTGCTGTAATATGTTGTCCGGGCTTGGCCCCATGTAAGCCGATCCGAGTCCCCACTGGGGAGATGGTGGCAGGGTATAAATAAAGTTTATTATTATTATTGTATTCTTAGACCACACCTTGAGTATTGTATCCAATTCTGGGCACCACAATTCAAGAGAGATATTGACAAGCTGGAATGTGTCCAGAGGAGAGCGACTCAAATGATAAAAGGTCTGAAGAACAAGCCCTATGAAGAGCAGCTTAAGGAGCTGGGCATGTTTAGCCTGAAGAAGAGAAGGCTGAGAGGGGATATAATAGCCATGTATAAATATGTGAGAGGAAGCCACAGGGAGGAGGGAGCAATCTTGTTTTCTGCTGCCCTGGAGATTAGGACAAGGAACAATGGCTTCAAACTACATCTGAACATGAGGAAGAACTTCCTGACTGTGAGAGCTGTTCAGCAGTGGAACTCTCTGCTCCGGAGTGTGGTGGAGGCTCCTTCTTTGGAAGCTTTTAAACAGAGGCTGGATGGCCATCTGTCAGGGGTGATTTGAATGCAATATTCCTGCTTCTTGGCAGAATGGGGTTGGACTGGATGGCCCATGAGGTCTCTTCCAACTCTTTGATTCTATGATTCTCTTGGTGCCTCACCAAACTGCAAATCCCACAATTCTGTAGGATTGGGCCATAGCAATAAAAGTGTGGTCAAACTGCATTATTTCTATAGTGCAGATGCACAAAACATTAGGTGAGGGAGCCTAGCAATCCCAACTCTGACTGTTACCAGCTTTCCATGATTGGATGTTTTTTAGCAAAAGAAACAGGGCATGAAATTGTTGTTATTTTTGCAGGACAAGCTGTTGATTGATTTATACTTTTCTCTGTTTAGATATGGATTATTTGCATCTTAGCATTAATATACTATAGTTGGAAATCATATTTGGAAGTAGCCAAACCCATTATGTTTTGGAATTCAGCTCCCAGAATCCGTAAACATTGACCACATGCCCGGAGCTTCTGGGAACTGTAGTCCAAAACACTTAGAGAACCAAAGTTTGGAATCACAAGCTTAAGTCATGTGGGCATCCTATGGCAAATGACCTGGAAATATTCAGGTGGATGGAGGTAAATATGAATAGATTTCTCGCCCATTGACTTGGCTTTGCTCTTCCATGCATCTCGTCCTCCCAAGAGAAAACCTTGCCAACCGTTCCTTGAAAAACCTGTGTCTTAGCAACAGAATAAATTATGCATCTTGACTATGACATGGGAAATGTTCCAAAAGGAGTATCTAATCCATTTTTTTGGTCTGCGTTAAAGCAAAAGCGTCCCTGGCAAGCATCTATCTGCCCAAATAGTCCTTGCAGTTTCAGCAGATGCACCAATTCACTGCTGAGCTGCTCCATAGTTTTTTCCCTTTGGAATAAAGGACACGGTTTCTCTCTTTGCCTGGGCATCTCATGCATGAGAACAATAAGAATGCATCCACATTGACTCAGTGCTATGGGATCCTGGGAGTTGTAGTTTTGCAAGGTCTTTAGCATTCTCTGTCAAACTACAAGAAAGGAGATTCCATCTGAACATTAGGAAGAACTTCCTGACTGTGAGAGCTGTTCAGCAGTGGAACTCTCTGCCCTGGAGTGTGGTGGAGGCTCCTTCTTTGGACACTTTTAAACAGAGGCTGGATGGCCATCTGTCAGGGGTGCTTTGAATGCAATATTCCTGCTTCTTGGCAGAATGGGGTTGGACTAGATGGCCCATGAGGTCTCTTCCAACTCTAGGATTCTATGATTCTATGAAATGCTGGAGATTTACCAAGCTATAAGGCAGGACAGAAAGTAAATGAACAATCTATTTAGAAATGAATAAATAATTAAATAAATAAGCAAGCCAATGGGAACTTGGCAATTCAATACTTACAAAAGTCCCATTGATTCTGGGAAAAGACTGAACTGAAAAAAAAAACATAAACAAAACATATATACACGTATTTATAAATAAACAAATATATAAGTCAATGAGATCTGGGCACCACAATTCAAGAGAGATATTGACAAGCTGGAATGTGTCCAGAGGAGGGCGACAAAAATGATCAAGGGTCTGGAGAACAAGCCCTATGAGGAGCGGCTTAAAGAGCTGGGCATGTTTAGCCTGAAGAAGAGAAGGCTGAGAGGAGACATGATAGCCATGTATAAGTATGTGAGGGGAAGCCACAGGGAGAAGGGAGCAAGCTTGTTTTCTGCTTCCCTGGAGCCTAGGACGCGAAATAATGGCTTCAAACTACAAGAAAGGAGATTCCATCTGAACATGAGGAAGAACTTCCTGTGAGAGCCGTTCAGCAGTGGAACTCTCTGCCCCGGAGTGTGGTGGAGGCTCCTTCTTTGGAAGCTTTTAAACAGAGGCTGGATGGCCATCTGCCAGGGGTGATTTGAATGCAATATTCCTGCTTCTTGGCAAAATGGGGTTGGACTGGATGATGGCCCATGAGGTCTCTTCCAACTCTTGGATTCTATGATTCTATGGGAATCTGGCAATGCTACACTTACATAAGCCCCATTGATTTGATGGGTCTGCTTTAGTTTTGAGTACTTTTATAATGTTGCACTTTGATGTTGTATTTATTCATTTGGTATGTGAATGCCCTCTGGTCTAAGCACTGATATACTCTGGTTGAGAATAATATTTGGATGTAGTCCTATATATATTGCATAAATGTCTGATTGATCTCTCTGCCGGCTTGCTTCTCTATATTCCAGCCAAATATGGGCATTATGGTTGGCCTTTAGAAGGACGATTATCCTAACGGTTTCTCACGTTGCTTGTTTTGTGTCCCTAGCAAGTTAGTGGAAACATATTGCCAACATCCCCAGATTTTGTACAGATACTATGTTTACTTTGCATAATTTATCCTTGTCACCAAACTGTTGGGTTTTCATGGTTCTTCTTTGTACCAAATAAGGTCTGAGAGGATGCTTGGTTTTCTTTGGGAGGACCACCACTTCTTGTCCCCATTGCTTTCCCTATCCTCTCTTTGGAGCAAGGAAATTGGGAAACCTAATTGTTACTTTAAAAGGGGATTGGACTAAATGACCCTACCAGCGCTCTATGAATTGCTAAGAAGTGGCTTTGAGAGGGCCTCTACCATCTGCACAATGGGCAGAAAGTCAAGTGATAGGGTTCATATCTCTCTCCACAATTGAAATGTATGGATAGAAAAGGCTGGGCTTGTTGACTTCCAACTGATAAAATGCATGTGGAAACACGTCTTGGCCAAAGATTGCAAAATGCTTCTCTTTCTCCCTTGATGTTTTGGGTAACTCAAAGATCATGCCCTGATTTTGGCCAAAGCCTCAGACAGGAGATTGCCAGCTTTGTATCCACAAACAGCTCTTATGAACTGGAGGATCATCACTTCGGATCTTCTCCCATGGCAACACAATCCCTGACATGTGAGAGCCATCTTTAAATATCTGGAAGTTATGAAGAAGATGGAACAGTCTTCTTTTCTGCTGCTCCAGAGACTAGGACATGAACCAGTGCATTCAAATTATGAGAGGAGAGAATCCACCTATATGTTAGGAAGACCTTCTTGGTGGGAACAACAATTCAACCATGGGATAAATTGCCTTGGAAGGTGGTGGACTCTCCAACTTTGGAGGTCTGCAAACAGAAGTTGGATGGCAATCTTTCAGGAGCTGTGCATCGCTGCATGGCTTTTCTGATTTGAGTTCTATCCATACGTTCCAAAGCTCCATTTTCTTCGGAAATCCAAAAGAAACCTAAGATATTTTAACATCTAATTGCAGAGGAATGGCTTCTTGTTTGGCCATTGCGCAAAGCTTGGTGGAAACTAGAAAGTGTGCACAACCAGTTGATATTTGAAGGCAGTAGTTTGTCTGGAGGACACTTGCAGAGACAGTGAGAGCCAGAATTTCTAACTCTTGGCGAAGGCGATGATGAGCATCCAGGATAGGAGATCTTCTGTGGGCTGTTCATCTCCATGGCAGCACTTCCAAAAGACTGAAAGATGGCTCTCTGTCTCAGTGAATTGTTGACAAAATGCCTTGATCTGAGAGGCTTTGGAGATGGGACCACATTTGACTTCGGGAGCGACCTCCAAGGTGCCAAGATCAGACACAAACCCATAATATTTTGGGGATTTTATTCTGGCTGGTTTTAACATCAATAGACTGAATCAATAGGGGTATAGTGTCTAGATCAAGGGAAGTCATCGTCCCTCCCTATTCTCCTTTGGCACCTGGAATAATAACCCTGTGTCCAGTTCTGGGCACCACGATTCAAGAAGGAGATGGACAAGATGGAAGGGGCACAAAGAAGATCACAAAAATGTCCTGGAAGTCAAACACTATGAGGAGTGGCTTGGGGAGCTGTGGATGTTGATTATAGGGTAATTATAGCCATATTTAAATATTTGAAAGGATGTTGTATTGAGGAGGAGGAGGCAGGCTTGTTTTGTGCTGCTTCAGAGACTAGGACAAAATGGAGTAATGGATTCAAACTGCAGGAAAAAAGGTTCCACCTAAATATTAGGACAGAATTTGGATGCTGTTTTGACAGTAGAGTTTGTTGTTGCTTTGGAGCGTTTTGGAGTCTCCACAGTTTTGAAATTGAGACCAGATGATCACTTGTCGGGAGTGCTTATACTGTGTGGTCCTGCATGGAAGGGGTTTGGAGTGGATGACCCTGGGTGTTTATTCCAACTCTTATGATTCTATGATCCAGTCATATTTGGGGGTGGGGGTGGGGGAGGCTTTTGCTGAGTTCTGCTTGTTAAAGAAAGAGAAACCAAATGCAAAAAAAATGCTAGATTCTTTGATTACTTCACCCCCAAAAAAGTCAAAACATCAAGTCCCCAAGAAATGTCAAGACTGGAGACCGTGGAAAGGAGTTCTCAAAGGATGTTTCACGGCTCTCTTGCAGAGGAACGATCCATCATTTCGGCAGAGAAGAGCAAAGGAATACAAAAATCCTCCCTTGTTAATCAGCTGTTAAGTTACTCAACCTCTTGGAAGGAAAAAGGAACTCTGAAGGTAAAGGATTGCTCGGCAAAGAGAAGGTTTGTCTGATGCAAAGAGATGGTTTTGCAGCTGGCTCCGTAAGAAGAGCGAGGACAAGAAATGAGAGAGGAGAAGGGGGCCACTTCCCTGGCAGTCTTGAGAAATCCCTTGTGTTGGTTCTGTAATTGTGTAAATGTAGCACCATCGTTTCGACACAGCGCACCCTGCCCTCCGCCAGGAATAGGAGCCTGTCGCTTTCGTTCCTGAAGGCCGGCGTAAAAAGGTGTGCTCTTGGCGGGTCGCTCCCCAAAAGCGCCGGCTCAGAGAGAACGGAGATCGGCAGACCTCCCAATGCCGGCGTTGTCTTTTCGTAACAGGCGGACAGACGGGATCGGTTCGGCTTCTTCCTCGCAAAGGTTAACAGCCCGCTTCCACCTTTATGTGTAAAATCTTTGAAAAGCCTGGCCGCTTCTTGAGGGCCTGGAGGAAAAGGAAGAGATGTGAGAGATCATAACACTGAAATTCATATTTCGGATAACTCATGCGAAGCTTGGGATTCTAAAGCAGTGGTGTGGTGAATCTGTTCTGGGTTCTCATTGGAAATTTCAAGGAACTGGCCAAGGTTCTGAATCTATTTTGGGGGAGATTGGACATTTCCAGAGTCCATTGGAAATTTCAAGGAGTTGGCCAAGGTGCTGAATCTACTTTGGGGGAGATTGGACGTTTCCATAGTTCATTGGAAATTTCAAGGAACTGGCCAAGGTGCTTAATCTACTTTGGGGCAGATTGGACGTTTCCAGAGTTCAATGGAAATTTCAAGGAACTGGCCAAGGTGCTGAATCTACTTGGGGTCAGACTGGACATTTCCAGAGTTCAGACTAAAACCCAAAGCAGATCCCTATTGGTATAAAACCCAGGAATCACTATTTGCAGAAAATAATGGGGTAGAAAAATGCCGAAAACCCTTTGAAAGAAAATGCCACACAAATGCAGCAACTTGTGGAAAGTTTGAAAGTTTAAAAATCTCCTTCTCTGGGAGTCTTTAAGCAGAGGCTGTATGGCCATCTGTTGGGAGTGCTTTGATTGTGTCTTCCTGAATGGCAGAAGGAGGTTGGACTGGATGGTCCCTGAGGTATCTTCCAACTCCATGATTCTATGAACTCCAAAAAGCAAACCTTAATTTTGCTATTCTATTTAGGAGACACTGTCTATAATGAGACTTGAGCATTCATAGACTTGGATCTCTAGGAACTCATTTCAATTATTAGATTTATGAATTAGATTAGTGTTTCCCAACCTTTCTAATGCCGCAAACCCTTAATACAGTTCCTCGTGTTGTGGTGACCCCCAACCATACAATTATTTTTGTTGCTACTTCATAACTGTAAACTTGCTACTGTTATGAATCATAATGTAAATATCTGATACGCAGGAGGCATTTTCATTCACTGGAGCAAATTTGGCACAAAAACCCAATATGCCCAAATTTGAATACTGGTAGGATTGTCATGTGTGTGTATGATTTTGTCATTTGGGAGTTGTAGTTTCTGGGATTTATAGTTAATCTACAATCAAAGAGCATTCTGAACTCCAACAACAATGGAATTGAACCAAACTTGGCACACAGAACTCCAACAGGAAATACTGGAAGGGTTTGATGGGCATTGACCTTGAGTTTTGGAGTTGTAGTTCACCTACATCCAGAGAGCACTGTGGACTCAACAATGATGGATCTGGACCAAACTTGGCATGAATCCTCAATCTGCCCAAATGTGAACACTGGTGGAGTTTGGGGGAAATAGACTTGACATTTGGGAGTTGTAGTTGCTGGGATTTATAGTCCACCTACAATCAAAGAGCACTCTGAATCCCACAAATGATAGAATTGGACCAAACTTTCCACACAGAACCTCCATGACCAACAGAAAATACTGTTTTCTGATGGTCTTTGGAGACCCCTCTGACACTCCCTCGCAACTCCCCCCAGGTTGAGAAACACTGAATTAGATGATGATTATTAAAGCAAATGTGTAATTATAAAGTATTATCTCAAGGAAGTTGGATAAAAGTGGCTAAAATCAATAAACAATGAGTGTGAGGTTCATAGTATAGTAGTTGTTTCAGTGGCTATTAATGTGGGTAGCTGCTAACGTAGTATGTTCGTCTTAGATTTAGTTTTGTAAGATGTAGAAGTGCTAATGTTATATATTATGACAGGGATTTTCATATGTCGTGAGTCCACAAGTTTGTTACCTGAAGTTTGTTAACCATTTCCTCGAACATCTTCCTGGCCTCGGCACTATTTGGTTCCTTAAAGTAGTCAGCGATCCCAACTTGCACCACAATGGACTTCAGGTTCCGGCAAACGCCTTGAAGGGAGAGAGAAAAACACCTTTTACCTGAAGTTTCGAGGAAGCTCTGCGAGTGCAGCTTTTTTTCCGAATGAAGCAGAGAGTGTTTGCGGACCAGAACATCCGGGGCTTGTTTATAAAGCTATTGTCCTCCCAACCCTGCTATATGCCTGTGAAACATAGACTGTCTACAGATGTCACATGCTACTCCTAGAACGACTTCATCAGCGCTGCCTCCGGAAAATCCTGCAAATCTCTTGGGAAGACAAGTCTACAAATGTCAGTGTGCTGGAGGAAGCAAAGACCACCAGCACTGAAGCAATGCTCCTCTGCTATCAACTCTGCTGGACTGGCCACGTTGTCCTGATGCCCGACCACCATCTCCCAAAACAGTTGCTCTACTCCGAACTCAAGAACTGGAAACGGAATGTTGGTGGGCAGGAAAAGAGATTGAAAGATGGGCATAAAACCAACCTTAAAAACTCTGGCATAATCACTGAGAACTGGGAAGCCCTGGCCCTTGCGTGCTCCAGCTGGAGGTCAGCTGTGACCAGCAGTGCTGTAGAATTTGAAGAGGCATGAATGGAGGGTGAAAGAGAGAAACGTGCCAAGAGGAAGGCGCATCAAGCCAACTGTGGAGCCCCCAATGGCACAGTGGGTTAAACCCCTGTGCCGGCAGGATTGAAGACCAATAGGTCGCAGATTCCGGGGAGAGGCGGATGAAACCAGTTCTTGGGATTTAAGGTTTGCCAGTAGAAAATCTTGTCAGATCAGGCATCGTTTGGAAACCTAGCACAAGCCTCATGGGATCCCTGTTCAAGTGATCTTGTCTTCATGGGTTTTTCTAGCTTTTCAACTTGACTAGCAGTATCTGCTCTGTTCTTGCTTCTTGGTTGATTCCTGTCTGGATCATCAGTGCCTTGGAATATTATTTTATGCTTTTTGAACATTGCTTTTGAATGCTATGTTTGGACGCTGTGTCTACTTCCTGCCTTTGAATGCCTTATTGCTTTTTGGAATCTTATCTATCTTTACAAGCATTTCTTTCTACTGGCTTTTTTTGCTAAGCTTTAATAAAAAGGATTGTTCCTTCACTCAAAGTGCGGTGTGTTGATAGTCAGAGGGGCCATTTCCTGTTCTGGAGTGCAACAATATCCAGATGATAGGGATGGAAGACACACCAATGCACATTGGGCAGGATATACACACTTCATATTGAGCTTCTGTTTACTCCATAAAGAGCATCATTGCAGAGCACAGAGAAGCTCAATGTGGAACACAAAGAATGCATTGCAATTGCTCAGTGCCATTGTGTGTAGTAGTGTGCACTAGCAATGATTTGTTTATGTTGTGCTACGAAGCGCCAATGCAGAGCCTCAGTGCAGGTGCAGTTGTGCACATAGGTACCATCTACATACGTTTAGCAGTGATCCAGACATATTGTGCAACAGTGAGAACCAATATAGGGGCTGCTTAAAGCAAGTGGAATGTAAACCCATTTGTGGTTATTTGTCCTGCATTGTGGTGATGTGACATCTCACGTTAAAAGTCCCAATGTTTTGACCTTGTGAGCCTTGGTTCGCCTTCTGACCAATCCATTTAGGAATGCTCCATTAATGTGCAATGCACGACGAGGCCACAAATGGCGCTTTGAGAAGTAATCGTGTGCAGATAATATCTGGGATAATTCTCTTGATTTTATTAGTAATCATGTTTGTTTCTTGGTGGAGAGAGATGCTGATTCAGTTGCAATGGACCACGTTTGCCCACATTCCTTTCCCAATGCTTCCCAGCCTTTTTTTTTGTTTTAATCATTAGGGAATGCGAACTTTAAATGAGTTGATGAATCAACAAAGTAGATCAATTAGCAGATTCACAGATTAGCAGATTTCATCGGCGGGGGCGAGAGTTAAGGGCACCTCGACTTCAATTAAAATAGAGGGCCAAGTTTGGCTCTGGTCCTTTATTGCAACTGGGACGCAGATCGGCTTCTGTGGAAGGCAGCAGCATTTTCTAACCACAGGGAGTAAACACTTCACATTCTCTTATCTCAGCCTCCCTAAACTTTATTGAGGTTTGGATAGCAACTCCGCTGAATTTTAATTGACTTAATGAACTTGGGCAGAGGAATCAACTAATTGGGAGCAAAGAGCAAAAGCATGGAAACATACTCTCTGCCCTCTTGCCAATTTGGATAAGGATCACAGCAGGAACCACAAGTTAAGGCTATTATTTGTATCAGAGTCCCAGTCCAGATATTGTTTGCTAGTGCTCCAGAGACTGGGACACAAGGGAGCCATGGGTTCAAATAGCATTAGGAAGAACTTCCTAATGAAAAGAGCTGCTTGATAGTGTTGGAGCTCAGCCTGTGATTATGTTTCAGGATCAGGGTGTTTTGGATGTGGGGAGTGATATCAATGAGTTTCAAGATGGCAATGATATTGATGCAGAGTATGAACAGGAGATTCCTGTTCAAAGTGTAGTTGCCCATGAGAATGTCCCTGAAGGGCCTGGGGATGATGGTGCGCTCCCTGAATTACTACCAGAGAGTTCCCAGGATTTGGGGCTTGAAAACAACTCGGCAACTGCAGAAGTCAATGAGCAAATAGATGGCAGGAGATTAGTCAAAACAGACAAGCCGAACAGTGGCTTCGGCGTTCCGCCAGGCTCCAACAGAAAAAGCTAAGGGAATATCAATTAAAGCGAAATCCATTTCTGAGTGCTTGGGATAGCTTAATGAGGGGATAAAAGTCCCAAGTATGGGAAATGTAGCCAGGTGGAGTTGAAGGTCAAAACATCCGGGGACCCACAGGTTGAGAACCACTGGTCTAGATTGTGTCTTCCTGTCTGATGGTGTTGGGACTCAGCCTGTGTTTCACCCTGAATCTGTTAATAGTGTTTCCTCCTTCTAATGCAGTGGTTCTCAACCTGAGGTCCCCAGATGTTTTTAGCCTTCTAACAGCTGGTAAACTGGCTGGGATTTCTGGGAGTTGTAGGCCAAAAACATCTGGGGACCCCAGGTTGAGAACCCCTGTTCTAATGTTTTTGAGCCTGTCTTGGATGTCAGTGAGGATGAGGTGCAAAATGGAGACACTTTAGACAATAAGGTTACTACAGACTCAGATCGAGAAGGGTCGGGGAAAGGCTAAGTTCTCATGAGAAAATTCCAGGCTCAAGTCTGCAAGATAGTTTCACATCTGCAGTTAACGAAGAGATAGATAAGACCAGTCACCGTCTGGAAATTAGCCAGAACCATAGAGAGGCCCAATATTTTTGCAGGTCAGAAAGAATCTGGCAATTGTGGTCAAAGACTGGGGGGAGTAGAAATCAGTTTCTGGGACTTAAATTGAGCTCTTAGGGAATTCCCTTTAGACAAGGCATTGTTTGGTTTCAAGTCAAGTCTTTTGGATATTCTTGTGACCTCGTCTCATAGGTTTCCTGGCTTTTCAAGTGGATTAGCAGTGGCTATATTCATGGTTTTTATAGAAGGCATTTGATATTTCTTTGCATCTGGATTTAAACAGCAAGCTTTGGGATCTTTGATATTATTCCTATGTTTGGACACTGTTTATGTTATTGCTTATTTGGCTTTTTGCTTTTGGACTTTAATCAACTTTATATTCATCCCTTTTATTGGCTCCAATTATTCTTCAAATAAAGATGATTCTTTTTTAATCCAAGGTGTGGTGTAATTAATGATTAGAGGGTCTTGTTCCTACTCTGGGGTGCAACAGACAGGGTTAGCATTGGGGGTTTCTTCTAACTTTATGATTCTAGAGACTCTATATTTAGTTTGTAGTCTGCTATGACTCTTAGAGCTATAAGCTGAGGCTGCATGACCATCTGTTTGGAGAGTTTAGATTGTGCCTTCCTGCTGGTACAATGAGGTTGAACTGGATGGCTCTTGAGGGTCTCCTCCAACTCTATGAACCAATGAGACTTCACTGGTGACCCTCTGTGGTGGGCGTCCACTCACTGTTGAAATGCAGCAAGGCCTTGGGGGTGACCGGGGTGGACGTCAGGACCAGCATCTCCAGGCCCTTCAGACCTTCCCGGCAGACCTCGGCTGCCACCTCCTGGTTCACCTCCGTCACGTGGTCCAGCTCCAACACCTGGAGGCGCATGCAGTTGCGGGCTGTGGAGAAGAAGGAGACACACAGGGGATGAGGGACCATTCTGATGTCCTTTCTGCAAGGCAAACTGGGGGCTCCTGTGCCGCTTTGGGTTTTATTCCAACCTTTAAAGCAGCTCTCCAACACCCCAAACACTATCCTTGAATAAGTTTCCATTGATTTATTTCTAGACCATATATCAGGTTTAGTCAAACTTGGGCCCTCCAGGTGTTTCGGACTTTAACTCCCACAATTCCTAACAGCCTCTGCAAGTTGAAGTCCAAACCACCTGGAGGGCCCAAATTTGACCATGCCTGCCCTATATATTTAGTCACACTTAAAATGTACTTATTTACATACAAATTCAACTCAAGAACAAATCTACAGACCTTATCTTGTCTGCAATTTGGGGGACTGCCTGTAATCCAGTTTCAGCATGCAGATTATCCGCTTTACATTGGATTATATGGCAGTGTAGACTCTTAAAATCCAGTTTGAAGCACATAATCAGCATTCAGAAACTGGATTATATAGTCACTGTAGATGGGGCCTTAGGGTAAACATGGGATTTTGGCCTGCATCAACCTAGTGTCTAGATCTAGGGAAGTAATGCTACCCCTCTATTCCGCTTTGGTTAGACCACACATGGAATATTGTGTCTAATTCTGGGCACCACAATTCAAGAGAGATATTGACAAGCTGGAATGTGTCCAGAGGAGGGCGACTAAAATGATCAAGGGTCTGGAGAACAAGCCCTATGAGGAGCGGCTTAAGGAGCTGGGCATGTTTAGCCTGAAGAAGAGAAGGCTGAGAGGAGATATGATGAGGGCCATGTATACATATGTGAGAGGAAGCCACAGGGAGGAGGAGGGAGCAAGTTTGTTTTCTGCTTCCCTGGAGACTAGGACGCAATGGAACAATGGCTTCAAACTACAAGAGAGGAGATTCCATCTGAACATGAGGAAGAACTTCCTGACTGTGAGAGCCGTTCAGCAGTGGAACTCTCTGCCCGGAGTGTGGTGGAGGCTCCTTCTTTGGAAGCTTTGAAACAGAGGCTGGATGGCCATCTGTCAGGGGTGATTTGAATGCAATCCCTGCTTCTTGGCAGAATGGGGTTGGACTGGATGGCCCATGAGGTCTCTTCCAACTCTTTGATTCTATGATTCTACACATGCGTGGGTAGGGCATGTATTAGCCTTTGCCTTCCTCTGAGAAGAGTGCATCTTTCAAGGATGGATACAGGTATGTACTCCACCATAGTCCAATGGATTACAGCCACCAGTGCTTGGCACATTTACATTGTTGAATAAATGTAGTTAGATAGCACTTTAAGGCCATCGCTCAATGCAATGGGATCCTGGGAGTTGCAGTTTTATAAGGTCTTTAACCTTCTCTGCAGAAAAAAGGCCTCACCAGACTCCAACTCCAGTGATCCCATACCATTGAGACATGGTGTTTAAATTGTGTCAAAGTGTATTCTATAGTGTAGATGCACCCTAAAGCTAGATCTACACTGCTATATTATCATTTGAAACACAACAAGATGAGACAACACCAAACAAGATCACTCTGCTAGCTGTTGTATTGGATCATTCTGGAGTGACATCTCTAGTTCATCCCTTGTTTGGGTATCAGCAAGCACGTCAATGTCTTAAATCAAGAAATAGTTTTCTAAGATCTACAGAGACACTCGCTGGAACACCCCAGCAAGCGAGAGTCCAAAAGTGGTAGGCTCAAACTCAGAACCTCAATCAGTGGCTGATACCAAATGAGAGACTCCCCCCTGGGCACACAGAAAACTGGGCGACTTGGAAGGCGCTGAACAGACTGCGCTCTGGCACCAAGATGCAGAGCCAACCTCAGAAATGGGGCTCACGCGCTGGCCATCTGGTCGCGACTCTCGATATGAGTGTGGAGGGAGACCGACTGACCACCTGCTGCATCAAGCCTGGAGCCCTGCTCAGCATGCATAAGGGAGGACGATCAACGGTCCGTAGGGCGCTGGGATTGTGTACCACAAGTGTGTGGCCAACTACATATAACCAAGGACACTACATAAATACAACTAGCGCGAAGGCTTTGCACAGTCTGGTATATGTACATCTAATGGTTTGTTTGTTTTTGTTCAACAAACAAGATCACTCTGCTGGCTGTTGTATTGGATCACATGTCGGAGACTTCCCAAGTGTCTAGGACTATGTGATATATTGGCGAATAATGCATGCAGATCCCAGTAGGGTGGCCTTTTGCAGCTGGTAGATGGTAATCTTGTCAGCGCCAATTGTGTTTAAGTGCAGGCCAAGGTCTTTAGGCACCCAGTGTGCCGATCACCACTGGGACCATCTTGACTGGTTTGTGCCAGTCTTTGTATATTATTATTATTATTATTATTATTATTATTATTATTATTATTATGTTGTTGTTGTTGTTGTTGTTGTTGTTTTGTTGTTGTTGTTGTTGTTGTTGTTGTTGTCGTCTCCACAAGGAGACTCAAAGCAGTTTACATTAAAAGCATTTCAATACAGCGTAAAACACGTCTCAGTACAATTAAAAAAAATCAAACTGCATGATATGGTCAGTGTAGACCCATATAGTGCCGTTCAATGCAGCTCGAATTGCTTTACGTGGGTCTACACTGACCATATCATGCAGTGTGATATCATATCTATCTGCAGTATTAGATAATGCACCTTGATGCCTGGATTGACCTTGAACACTATGTGGGTGACGGCCTACCTCTTGTGGGGTGGAGGCACATACCTATCACGTAGAGTCGAAACACATGTACGAAACTGAAACGAATGAACACCAACACACACACAAGATAAGAAGCGCATTTGTTGGTGAACTGCATACTGTTATGTGGTACGTGTCGTGAAGACGTTAAGCGCCGAGTACGTGTACACGGTCAATAGGTGTGCGAGCAAACCAGAGTTTCGCGTGTAGGGATCGCAGATGAACATATAAGTGGGGTGGGCACACACGAATTGTGTGCGTGGTTAATACGCCTAAGTCGCACAGAGCAGTGGTTCAATTTGCGGGACAAAGCATCACGCCTAACGAGGACTTTGTCATGCGTGCAGATGCTTTGGAGAATGGGGACATAATATAGAGACTGTGATATTGGACACGGAGGATCGTGGTGCTTTCTTTGTGGACATTTTCGAATGAATATACACAGTCATAGAATCAAAAGTGTTAAGAGACAGAATGGCAATCAATAAGACCATTATGCAAAGAGAAGGGGTCACACTATCATATAACACTGGGCAGATGGACAATCCAGTATCTGTTTAAGATTACGGGCTCCACGATGGGCGATATTATAGGGCGTGCATGTGCTCGTGTGAGGAGTTCTCAATGCCACAACAGTGTGCGAAATGAAAACCCACCCCCATTTTTTGATTTTTTTTATTCACTGGACGAATATTTTACGGCAATGCAAGCTGTGGTGAATGGATGTTAGTGGTAGACTCATAAGAACAATCAAGGAACAACAACACAAAAAATAACAAGATATGACTGAGTGAAGCCAATGTGTAGAGGTCAAGTGCGGTAGGCGCGATCGTACCTCACACAGGTTGAAAAGGAAAAAGTTACAAGTGTGTGTGGCACGAACTGGCTGTGCTGCCTGATATATGCGGAAAAGTATGCTGAAACGTGGCTTGACTGGCTGTAGATAATTCTTGGATTTCATTTTTTTAAAAGGAGAGAGAAACAAAGTGACACATACACTGCTGTGGTTCAGGAGAATGTAATGCATGTGTGGACAGATTGTGTGTGAAAAGGTGTGTCATCTCGTGAACAAACTTAAGGGATAGTGTGAGAATGGACAAAAAATAGTGGATTGGCGGTGTTAATTATTTTTCAAAGACAAAAAGGAAAGCGGGAAAGATGGGGGGGGGGGGAAAAGAGGAAGGAAGGCGAAGGGAGGGGAGAAAGGAGGGAGACGGGAAGGAAACAGGGAGAGAGTGAGGAGGAGAAGAAGATAGAGAGGAGGGAGGGAGAGGAAAAGGGAGAGAAAAAAAAAGAAGGGAAGAGGAGAAGAGAGGAGAGGAGAAGAGGAGAGAGAAGAGGTAGAGGGAGAGAAAAGAGCCGGCTTAAGGGAGTCGTGTGCAGCCTGAGCCAAAATAGATGTAATTGGACTTTAATTCTATTTCCAAGCCCACCACCACCCCCCCCCCCCACACCAAACTGTGAATTAATTTACTTTCTTTCCCTTTCATCCCATTTATTGCAGTACAGAGGACATGAGGATATGAATACTTGTGGACCTTCGTATCTATGGGGTTTCCTTCCAAGACCCCATGTGGGTACCAAAATCTGTGGATGCTGAAGTGTTGTTATTGTTATTATTATGCAGCTAATCCATGGATGCTAAAGATCTATTGTTGTTGTTGTTGCTGTTATTATTATTGCATAGTGAATCCCTAGATGCTGAAGACCTTTTGTTGTTGTTATTATTACTACGCAGCTAATCCATGGATGCTGAATACCCGTTGTATTATTATTATTATTATTATTATTATTATTATTATTATTATGTAGCTAATCCCTGGATGCTGAAGACCTGTTGTTGTTGTTGTTGTTGTTGTTATTACTACGCAGCTAATCCATGGATGCTGAAGACATGTTGTTGTTGTTGTTGTTGTTATTACTACGTAGCTAATCCGTGGATGCTAAAGATCTGTTGTTGTTGTTGCTGTTATTATTATGTAGCGAATCCCTGGATGCTGAAGACCTTTTGTTGTTGTTGTCGTTGTTATTATTACTACGCAGCTAATCCATGGATGCTGAAGACCTGTTGTTATTGTTGTTGTTATTATTATTATTCAGCTAATCCAAGGATGCTGAAGACCTTTTGTTGTTGTTGTTGTTGCTGCTATTATTATTATTATTATTATTATTATTATTATTATTATTATTATTATTACGTAGCTAATCCCTGGATGCTGAAGACCTGTTGTTGTTGTTGTTGTTATTATTACTACGTAGTTAATCCATGGATGCTGAAGACCTGTTGTTGTTGTTGTTGTTGTTATTACTACGTAGCTAATCCATGGATGCTAAAGATCTGTTGTTGTTGTTGTTGTTGTTGCTGTTATTATTAAGTAGCGAATCCCTGGATGCTGAAGACCTTTTATTGTTGTTGACGTTGTTATTATTACTATGCAGCTAATCCATGGATGCTGAAGACCTGTTGTTGTTGTTATTATTATTATTATTCAGCTATTCCAAGGATGCTGAAGACCTTTTGTTGTTGTTGTTGCTATTATTATTATTATTATTATTACGTAGCTAATCCCTGGATGCTGAAGAACTGTTGTTGTTGTTGTTATTGTTGTTGTTGTTGTTGTTATTACTACTACGCAGCTAATCCATGGATGCTGAAGACCTGTTGTTGTTGTTGTTATTATTATTATTCAGCTAATCCAAGGATGCTGAAGACCTTTTGTTGTTGTTGTTGTTGTTATTATTATTCAGCTATTCCAAGGATGCTGAAGACCTTTTGTTGTTGTTGTTGTTGCTATTATTATTATTATTATTATTATTATTATTATTATTATTATTATGTAGCTAATCCCTGGATGCTGAAGAACTGTTGTTGTTGTTGTTATTATTATTATTACTACGTAGCTAATCTATGGATGCTGAAGACCTGTTGTTGTTGTTGTTGTTGTTGTTCAGCTAATCCAAGGATGCTGAAGACCTTTTGTTGTTGTTCTTGTTGTTATTTATTATTATTATTATTATTATTATTATTATTATTATTATTATTATGCAGCTAATCCATGGATGCTGAAGACCTTTTACTGTGGTTGTTGTTGTCGTTACTATCTTACTGACACAAAAACACAGTATGTCACAGCAAACGAGATTATGATGATGATGATTATGCAGCTAATCCATGGATGCTGAAGACCTCCTGCTGCTGCTGCTGCTGCTGTTGTTGTTATTATTATTATTATGACTATTATTATTATTAGGCTAACAAAACTAAAAAATAGTGTAATAAAATGGGGCCCCATATTTAAAAAAATTGGCAAAATCAAGGAATTTGGGGGGTTAAAAACATTTTCTGCTTGGATGCTGAATCCATCAATATGGAGGGTTTATAGGTTCATTTCTAGTTTGGATACTATTACTCACTCATGAATTAAATCATCCACAGGTTAAAATATTTTATTTTTTAAAAATCCAAAAAGCAAACCTTGATTTTTTTCCCATTTTACGGAGTCAATGTAAGCAATGAGGCTTGAGTACCCACCAATTTTGGTATCCACTGTATCCTGGGACCAAACCCCAGCAAATACCAAGGATTCCCTATAGTAGGCATGGGCAAACTTCGCCCCTCTAGGTGTTTTGGACTTCAACTCCCACAATTCCTAACAGTCTACAAATCCAAAACACTTGGAGGGCTCAAGTTTGCCCATGCCTGATATAACCCCTCTCCAAACTACATTGTTATTGTCCGAATGGAAACGCTGTTTTCTGACCTGGGCAAAAAGTGTTACCAATGGGAATGCAGGCGCTGGCCTTCTTACCAAGGATGCAGTGGTGCCACCTGCAAGGAAATAATGTCCCGGCAACCGGCTCCCAAAGCCCAGATGACTTCGTGGCCCACGGGGTCTGTGGAACTCCTGAAACAGAGGAAAAAGGGGGTGGATTAGCTCTAGGTGCTCTTACTGCCTACTACAGGGAAAACCAGCTGATCCCTAATCCATCTAAAACACAGACATGTGCCTTTCACCTTAAGAACAGACAAGCATCCCAAGCTCTGAGGATCACCTGGGAAGGAATCCCACTGGAGCATTGCAGCGCACCCAAATACCTGGGAGTCACTCTGGACCGTGCTCTGACCTACAAGAAGCACTGCCTGAACATCAAGCAAAAAGTGGGCGCTAGAAATAATATCATACGAAAGCTGACTGGCACAACCTGGGGATCACAACCAGACACAGTGAAGACATCTGCCCTTGCGCTATGCTACTCTGCTGCTGAGTATGCATGCCCAGTGTGGAACACATCTCACCACTCTAAAACAGTAGATGTGGCTCTTAATGAAACATGCCGCATTATCACAGGGTGTCTGCGCCCTACACCACTGGAGAAATTACACTGCTTAGCGGTATTGCACCACCTGACATCCGCCGGGAAGTAGCAGCCAATAGTGAAAGGACCAAGGCAGAGACATCTCCAGCTCATCCCTTGTTTGAGTATCAGCCAGCACGTCAACAACTTAAATCAAGAAATAGTTTTCTAAGATCTACAGAGACACTCGCTGGAACACCTCAGCAAGTGAGAGTCCAAAAGTGGCAGGCTCAAACCCAGAACCTCAATCCAATGGCTGATACCAAATGAGAGACTCCCCCCTGGGCACACAGAAGACTGGGCGACTTGGAAGGCGCTGAACAGACTGCGCTCTGGCACCACGAGATGCAGAGCCAACCCTAAGAAATGGGGCCACAAAGTGGAATCCTCGACATGCGAGTGTGGAGAAGAGCAAACCACTGACCACCTGCTGCAATGCAACCTGAGCCTTGCCACATGCACAAGGGAGGACCTCCTTGCGGCAACACCAGAGGCACTCCAAGTGGCCAGATACTGGTCAAAGGACATTTAATCAACTACCAAGCTTGCAAATTTTGTATTTTGTCTGTTTGTTTGTTTTGTTCTGTTAGAAATGTAATACAATTGACTGGTTGCCCTGACACGACAAATAAATAAATAATGCAATGAAATCCTGGGAGCTGTAGTTTGATGGGGCACCAGAGAAGGCTAAATATATATCAATATATATTTAAAGGTGAGAAAAAGAATGTAGAGGTTTGGCATTATGACCTTGCAAAATTGCACGGTTATATTGCAAAATTGCACCTCCCAGGATTCTGTTGCATTCAGACATGGCAGTTAAAGGAGTTTCAAACTTCTTTAACTCTACACTGCAAATGCACCCAACAAAAGCAATAACATGATGTAACACTATTTTCTTCCTGGGTTATCAATGACATTTGTTGTTGTTGTTCATTCGTTCAGTCGTCTCCGACTCTTCGTGACCTCATGGACCAGACCACGCCAGAGCTCCCTGTCGGCCGTCACCACCCCCAGCTCCTTCAAGGTCAGTCCAGTCACTTCAAGGATGCCATCCATCCATCTTGCCCTTGGTCGGCCCCTCTTCCTTTTGCCTTCCACTTTCCCCAGCATAATTGTCTTCTCTGGGCTTTGCTGTCTCCTCATGATGTGGCCAATGACATTTACTATCATGAAAACATGGGGAAAGTTTATTAAACTTCAAAACCTTTGTTCTTACAGGAGGGACATCATCCTGCAGCACATTTTGCAATAGTTTTTGAATGACGATCTCCTAGACCAATTCAACCTGGTTTGTGGCTGCCACAAAACCAAAGTTTCTGGAGTATAACAACTACTTTCAAAGTAAATACTGCACCACTAAACAGGAAATAACACTTTAGAACCAGGAAAGTAACATTTTTCAAATGTTGTTGCATAGCGTAATGTAATGTCCAGCACCAAAAGATCCCATGGAGAGGTCTGGAACTGCCCCTGAGTTCTTGATCGAGACCCCTTCTGCACCTTTCCTTCAAAGTCAACTCCTGTTTTAATTTCCTGATTGTAGAACGGCCCACTTCTGTACTTCAGATGAGCCTAAAAATAATCCGCGTCGCGTTATCTGGAACACTCATACATCTCCAAGGAAGATGGCTGCCAAGGCTCCCGGGTTCGTTTGGCGCGGCCTTAATTAAAACCTATGAGTCACACTGACAGGTGAAAGAGCTGCCAAGCGGCTCAGGTAAACCTGATTATTTGGCGCTGATGAGGAAGGAAGGAAAGGGGGGAGAGAAAGCATGCACTGAAGCAGAATGTGGGAAATACTTTACTTTTTGGGGAGTAGTTTAAGTCTCCCATTCCCTGATTCAATATAGCCATGGATCAGGATGGGAAAAGGTAATGGCATCACTGAGGATGGTGTCTCTCGACATGGTAACTCAAGGCATCACCTTATGGACGTGTTTGCATATCAGATCATCCCATTATATTGTAGCTATTAATTAATTAATTAATTAATTATGTTTATTTATACTTCACTTTTATTCTTCACAAAGGAGACTCAAAGCAGCTATACATGCTAACAGCAGCGAGAGTCCTATATGTTCAATGATGAAAAAAGACAGAAACACCAACCATAGAAGATGTGGGACCAAACAGAAATGGTCCAGTTATCCATGTTGTTGAGAGATAAATCACAAGAAGGCTTTCTATTTTATGCTTGTTTAGTTTTAAAAATCTTTAATAAAAATTATTTTAAAAAAATATAACAAAAACAGCGCATGCTTGTGCTTCAAAACCACATGATGCAAAGTATTGCAATTGGGCAATTCCTCTGATCAAAGCACTTGTGTATGAGAAAAAGGTAAATTTAGTATAGGGTTTTAGCCTTGGAGATGTCTCATGGCATCACATGTCACAATTGGGCTTAGGAAAAATGTTTTTGGGGTTATATCTAACTACAGAAATATTTTGAAATAAAAAAATCATTATTTTTAATGTAAAACTGCATAGAAACAGTCATTGTGGTGTCACCCAGTGTACTTTGTAGTACCCTTTATACTTTGTAGTATCATCTATCAGACAGATGGCAAGCTGTTTAACCTCAGGAGACTGAAAGCCAAAACCAAGGTTACAACATCTGTTATAGAACTTCAGTATGCTGATGACAACGTCATCTGTGCGCATTCAGAAGAAGATCTACAAGCCACTCTAAACACCTTTGCAGAAGCATATGAGAAGCTTGGCCTGTCATTGAACATGAAGAAAACCAAAGTCCTCTTCCAGCAGTCACCAGCTAATTCTTCTCCAGTGCCAGAGATGCAGCTTAATGGTGTAACATTAGAAAATGTTGACCATTTCCGCTCCCTTGGCAGCCATCTCTCCACCAAAGTCAACATCGACACTAAAATACAACACCGCCTGAGCTCTGCGAATGCAGCATTTTTCCAAATGAAGCAGAGAGTGTTTGAGGACCGGGACATCCGTAGGGAGACCAAGGTGCTTGTTTATAAAGCTATTGTCCTCCCAACCCTGCTATATGCCTGTGAGACGCGGACTGTCTACAGACGTCACATGCAACTCCTGGAACGATTCCATCAGCGCTGCCTCCGGAAAATCCTGCAAATATCTTGGGAAGACAAGCGGACAAACGTCAGCGTGCTGGAAGAAGCAAAGACCATCAGCATTGAAGCGATGATCCTCCGCCATCAACTCACTGGACTGGCCACGTACTCCGGATGCCTGACCACCGTCTCCCAAAGCAGTGGCTCTACTCCAAACTCAAGAACAGAAAACGGAATGTTGGTGGGAAGGAAAAGAGATTTAAAGATGGGCTCAAAGCCAACCTTAAAAACTCTGGCATAGACACTGAGAACTGGGAAGCCCTGGCCCTTGAGCTCCAGCTGGAGGTCAGCTGTGACCAGCAGTGCTGCAGAATTTGAAGAGGCATGAATGGAGGGCAAAAGGGAGAAACGTGTCAAGAGGAAGGTACGTCAAGCCAACCCCGACTGAGATCGCCTTCTACCTGGAAACCAATGCCCTCACTGCGGGAGGACACGCAGGTCAAGAATAGGGCTCCACAGTCACCTACAGACTCACAAGAATACTGATCCTGGAAGACTATCCTACTCAGCCAACGAAGGATTGCCTAAGTAAAGTAAGTTTGTAGTACCCTCCTTTATCTTTTTAGTGATGCCAAGGGATATGTAGTTCAAAATAAAGTAACTGTTGCAAACTTGGTAGAGAATCTAGAATAATCACTTTGGGTCTTGATCAAGAGAGGCTGCAAGGTTTCTTAAAAGCAGCCCTAAATCTGTCTCTCTCTTCTGTTGTTTTTGCAAAAAGCAACCCACGGATTCTTTCCTGACGCTTTTCTTCCCTCCCTGCCAGCTCAGCCTCCGAATCCAAGGCAATCTCCGCATCTGACTCAAGCGGAGATAATTGCAAGGTATCTTGCAAGCAGGCTTGACACGGGGACAACTGCACACTCACCCCATTGCACACTCCCCAATCCAAGGATAAAGTCCAGTCGTGGTGTTGGTAGAATAATGCCCTTTTTCCTAGCAAAATGATGGATTGCAAAGGACAAGCAGCAGCTGGTATCCTATTTAGCAATAGATGCAAGTGTAAATCTACCTCATGCCCATACATGTCTTTTTTTTGGGGGGGGGGGGGGTTCATTGCACCATTCTTTCACCATTAACAATAACCGAAACCCTTAAATGGCTATTCCATGACCAATGTAGAGAGCGGGGGATTTGGGTTTGGGTGGTGATAGAAATTGTTGCCAAAATAATGTTTTTGATGATTATGTGTTTTTAACAATGTTGTAAGCCACCTCGAGTCACAAGGAGAGGTGGGTAAGAAATGCAATTATTAGGTTTTCTGGGCGGCCTGGCCATGTTCCAGAAGCATTCTCTCCTGATGTTTCTCCCACATCTATGGCAGGCATCCTCAGAGGTTGTGAGGTCTGTTGGAAACTAGGCAAGTGAGGTTTATATACAGGCACATAGCCAGAATTTTGTTAGTGGGGGGGGGTGAGTTAGATTCGGGGGGGGGGCTGAGGGTCTACCCTAGCAAACCTTTTGTATCATTACCCCCATACCCCCATGCATATGGGATATATTGAGCATGGTGATCAGATCATGATATGAATAAACATAACAGTTTGAATAATGTACTAGTAAGGCCTTCTCGAGGACCACCATGAGAATTTTGGAGGGGGGGGGGCTGAGAAGGCCCTGTCTCTTGTCCCCACCAAACATACTTGTGATCAAGGCAGGACCGAGAGCAGGGCCTCCCCAGACGATGTTAAAGTCCTGGAAGGTTCATAAGGAGGGGGGCAATCTGATACTCTTAGGGAAGGTGTTCCATAGTCGAGGGGCTACCACCGAGAAGGCCCTGTCTCTCTTCCCCGCCAAACGTACTTGTGATCAAGGCAGGACCGAGAGCTGGGCCTCCCCAGACGATCTTAAAGTCCTTGAAGGTTCATAAGGAGGGGGCCAAACTGATATCCTTAGGGAGGGTGTTCCATAATCGAGGGGCCACCACTGAGAAGGCCCTGTCTCTCGTCCCCACCTAACATACTTGTGACAAAGGCGGGACTGAGAGTAGGGCCTCCCCAGATGATCCTAAAGTCCTGGAAGGTTCATAAGGAGGGGGCCAATCTGATATCCTTAGGGAGGGTGTTCCATAGTCGAGGGGCCACCACCAAGAAGGCCCTGTCTCTCGTCCCCACCAAATGTACTTGTGACGATGGCATGACCAAAAGCAAGGCCTCCCCAGACAATCTTAAAGTCCTGGAAGGTTCATAAGGAGAGATGTGTTCGGACAGATAAATTGGGCCAGAACCGTTTAGGGCTTTATCGGCTAAAGCCAGCACTCTTAAATTGCCTTGTCCCAAATGGGACACAGTAGTTAATGTCCAAGGTGGGTCCACTTACCGGTAGGTCACGGCTTGCAGGGCCCGGCAGTAGCAGCTGGCCAGCCAGAGGGAGCGATCCGTCAAGATGTTGGGGCAGTGCGAAATCCGGAGAATCAAGAGGTTGCTCCCCGTGGCTTTCAATAAGGACTCCAGCCCGGCTTCCAGGCAGCCCCTGGGCAGAGAAGTAAACATGTCACACAGGTGTATAGTAAATATCGTTTGCAGGATAATGCGGGACCTTTTGGAGTTGCAAGCATGTTAACATGATGTGAGCTTGTTTACCCACAACAGAGTTAGGGTGCATCTACAACAGGTACTTTGGCCACATCTTGAGAAGAAAGGAAAGCTTAGAGAAGACAATTATGCTGGGGAAAATGGAAGGAAAAAGGAAGAGGGGCTGACCAAGGGCAAGATAGATGGATGGCATCCTTGAAGTGACTGGATTGACCTTGAAGGAACTGGGGGTGGTGATGGCTGACAGGGAGCTCTGGCGTGGACTGGTCCATGAGGTCACGAAGAGTCAGAAATGACTGAACGAATGAACAACACCAGGTATGGGTGTTGCAACTCAGAGTAAGCTTCAAACCAGAGTCCCAGGTACAAGCAATGAACAAATTGCCCCAAGAATCACAATGCAAGAAATCCCAAGCGTACTGCTTTCCAGGCTAAGGTTATTCCATGAAGCTTTCAGGCTAGTAGGCTACGTTGAACTGACACTTTCTCAGGGTTTGCAAGAAACCTAAATACCTTTCTAATGTGAAAACATTAGGCTCTCATCATCATAAAAGCATTGCGATGACCTTTCACTGAGTTGGCTTCTCGTCTGCTGGCCAGATGAGAACTCCGCCTGACCCTCAGATCAAGACGAGCTTGCCGGGTCAAGTCACTATCTACACTTTCGGTATCAGCGTGGGAAGGCACCTGCTCGCTATCTCCTTCGTTAAAATTCCTTTCTGGTGGGAACGGCTGTGTTGACACTGCACTGTCTGTGGGAGCCTCAGAAGCAGGCTCAGAGATTTGAGGCACAGACAAAGAGCCAGGAAGCTGAATCCCAGCAGGAATTTGAATCCCATTATCCTCATCATCAGAAAACAGCTCAGCCACAACAATGGGCAAACTTCAGCCCTCCAGGTGATTTGGACTGCAACTTCCACAATTGGAATTGTGGGAGTTGTAGTCGAAAACACCTGGAGGGCTGAAGTTTGTCCATGGCTGATCTACCACAACTGTATTTAAGAAACTAAAACTGATGTGGTCTATCCAAAGCAATGTCTTGAATCAGTGCCCCAAAAAACCCAAGTACAGTCCTAATAACCAAGACGACAGCAAAAATGGCTGGGCTGTGGAATATTTTATATGCCTCTAGTTTAATTCTGCAAGTGGATTGGACTCCCATGTTTCAACCAGTTGAAGAAGATGATGTATTGTCGAAGGCTTTCATGGCTGGAATCACTGTGTTGTTGTAGGTTTTTCAGGCTATATGGCCATGTTCTAGAAGCATTCTCTCCTGACGTTTCACCTGCATCTATGCAATCATCCTCAGAGGTGGTGAGGTCCTCACAAGGAGAGAATGCTGCTAGAACATGGCCATATAGCCCAAAAAACCTACAACAACCCAATGAGGATGATGTTTATCTGTGCCCTGCTTTTTCTCTCCCCAAGGAGACTGACACGCTCCCTTACCGTGTGCTTTTCATGTAATCTTCCTTGGTCTCCTTCTTCCCTCTTTGCCGAGGTTTCAGGTTCTGGAGGGTGAGGGAGTGGGTTTGGGTGCACCATTGCGACAGCATGACTAAGAACTGCAGAAAGAAAAGAGGAGATCACAAAAGGAAGCAGAATTTCAAAATGAATTCCAATAAGGACACATGTAAGATAGGGCACTTAGGCAGGAAAAATGAAACACAAAGATGCAAGATGTGGGACACCTGGTTTGACAACAGACCACATGAAAGAGATCTTTAATCATCATCATCATCATCATCATCATCATCATCATCATCATCATCTATATAAATAAAAATGTAATGTTCGTTTGTGGTATTCACAGAACTGAAAAATCACTGGACGAATTGACACCAAATTTGGACACAAGACACCTAACAACCCAATGTATGTCCTTCACTCAAAACAACACTGAAAAACACAACAGAAGGGACTTAAAAGGCCCCAACAAACTAAATGACGAAAAGCTAAATGACAATACAGAAAAAAGGGAAAGGGAGAGAAAAAAGAAAGAAAAGAAGAAAGAAAGAAAGAAAGAAAGAAAGAAAGAAAGAAAGAAAGAAAGGGAGAAGGAAGCATGGAAGCAAAGAGAGAAGGAAGGAAAGAGGTAGAGAAGGAAGAAAATGGGAGGGAAAGAAAAAGGGGGAAGGAAGGAGAGAAGGAAGAAAAAAGGGAAAGAAGGGAGGAAAGAGGGAGCGAAGGAAGGGGGAAGATGTAGAGAAAGAGGGAGGGAAGGAAATAAGGAAAGAGAGAAGGAAGAAAAGAGACCAGAAGAGAAAGAAAGGGGGAAGGAAAGAGAGAAGAAGGAAGAAGAGAAGGAAAGGAAGGAAAGAGAAAGAGGAGGAGGAAGGAGGGAAAGAAGGAGAGAAAGAGGGAAGGTTGGCCACAGCAATGTGCGGCGGGTACAGCTAGTCTATATAAATAAAAATGTAATGTTTGCTTGTGGGATTAACATAACTCAAAAACCACTGGACGAATTGCTGCCAAATTTGGCCGCAAGACACCTACTAACCCAAGGAGTGACCATTACTCAAAAAAAATTTGATTTTCTCATTTGGGAGTTGTAGTTGTTGGGATTTATAGTTTATTTACAATCAAAGAGCATTCTGAACTCCACCAATTATGGCATTGAACCAAACTTGGCACACAGGACTCCCACGACCAACAGAAAATACTGGAAGGGTTTGGTGGACATTGACCTTGAGTTTGGGAGTTGTAGTTCATCTACATTCAGAGAGCACTGTGGACTCAAACAATGATGGATCTGGACCAAATATGTACACATATGCCAAAATATGAACACAGATGGAGTTTGAGGAAAATAGGCCTTGACATTTGGGAATTGTAGTTACTGGGATTTATAGTTCACCTACAATCAAAGCACATGCTGAACCCTACCAAAGACAGAATTGGGGCAAACTTCCCACATAGAACCCCCAAACTTTTCCAAATCACCAGACTGGGCCACAGCAATGCGTGGCAGGGGACCTCTAATAATAATAATAATAATAATAATAATAATAATAATAATGTAATAAAATTTTATTTATATACTGCTCTAGCTCCCTGAGGGGGAGTCTTCACGGAGAACATGAGCCAACAGTGTGATGCAGCCACTAAAAAAGCTAATGGGATTTTGGGCTGCATCTAAAGGAGTCTAGTGTCTGGATTGAGGGAAGTCCTGGTGCCTCTCTATTTTGCTTTGGTCAGACCTCTTTACTTGGAATCACGCTGTGTCCAATTCTGGGCCTCACCGTTCAAAAGAGATATTGACTCTAAGCTGAAAGGTGTTCAGAGGAAGAGAGAGATTAAAAGGATCAAGGGTCTGGAGACCATGAATCCCTATGAGGAGCGGCTTAAAGAGATGGGCATGTTTAGCCTGCAGAAGAGAGGTTGAGAAGAAGACTTGATGACTATGTATAAATATGTGAGGGGAAGTCATAGGGAGGAGGGTGCAAGCTTGTTTTCTGCTTCCTTGGAGACTACAATGCAGAACAATGGCTTCAAACTACAAGAAAGGAGATTCCACCTGAACATGAGGAAGAACTTCCTGACTGTGAGAGCTGTTCAGCAGTGGAACTCTCTGCCCCGAAGTTTGGTGGAGGCTCCTTCTTTGGAAGCTTTTAAACAGAGGCTGGATGGCCATCTGTCAGGGGTGCTTTGAATGCAATTTTCCTGCTTCTAGGCAGAATGGGGTTGGACTAGATGGCCCATGAGGTCTCTTCCAACTATTTGATTCTATGATTCTGGAGGCCATGAATCCCTATGAGGAGCGGCTTAAAGAGATGGGCATGTTTAGCCTGCAGAAGAGAAGTCTGAGAAGAGAAGGAGACATGATGGCTATGTATAAATATGTGAGGAGAAGTCATAGGGAGGAGGGTGCAAGCTTGTTTTCTGCTGCCCTGGAGACTACAATGCAGAACAATGGCTTTAAACTACAGGAAAGGGGATTCCATCAAAACATTGGGAAGAACTTCCTGACCGTATGAGCTGTTCAGCAGTAGAACTCTTTGCCTGGGAGTGTGGTGGAAGCCCCTTCTTGGAGGTTTTTAAACAGAGGCTGGATGGTCCTCTGTTGGGGGTGCTTTGAATGTGATTCTCCTGCCTCCTGGTAGAAAGGGGTTGGACTGGATGACCCACGAGGTCTCTTTCAACTCGATGATTCCATGATTCTGTGGTGTTGTCAGACAACTAAGGGCCCTTCCACACAGCCCTATATCCCAGAATATCAAGGCAGAAAATCCCACAATATCTGCTTTGAACTGGATCATCTGAGTCCACATTCAGATAATGTGGGATTCCCTACCTTGATATTCTGGGATATATGTGGGATTCCATCTGAACACTAGGAAGAACTTCCTCACTGTATGAGCTGTTCAGCAGTGGAACTCTCTGCCTGGGAGTGTGGTGGAAGCTCCTTCTTGGAGGTTTTTAAACAGAGGCTGGATGGTCCTCTGTTGGGGGTGCTTTGTGCTTTTCTTGCATGGCAGGGGTTGGACAGGATGCCTCATCTCTTCCAACTCTATGATTCTATGAAGTCTGCATCTTTTCTCTCCTCCTGCAAGCCTTTACCTTCGAAGATACCCGGGCATTTTCCAAAAGCACCCGAGTCCACACAGCCGGGTGCCGGGCCACGAATTTCCAGTCCTTGCAGACCTCTGCGGCTCTCAAGAGGGTCTTGGTGTCCAGGTAGGTGAAGATGCAGAAGAGGGCAGCTCGCATTTTGAGGATTTCGGGGCTGATGACTTCGTTTGAACGAGAAGGGCTGCCTCGATCGGGTCGGAGGGCCTTCCCACCGTCAGACCGACCTGCAATGGAAAAGAACAGACTATTATCAAAATCATCACCATTATTTATATCTCCTCTTAAAAGACACTCAAAGTCGATAAAAGGCATTCTCACCCAAATGCACATACAATTATACTATTATGATTCCAGTTGAATGGGCATAGGTAGCAACATTGGGCAGGAGGTTTAGCACAGCTGGTAAATCATCAGCAACTATAGGATCTATTAATGGAAAGGTTGCAAGTTCGAAGCCCCGGGTTGGCGTGAGCAGCAGACCGTCAGCCCTGCTCACTGTTTACCTAAGCAGTTCGAAAACAGCTTTAGCTGTAATTAGAGAAATTAGGTACCGCTAAAAACAGGGGAGGTGTTTTACTACACCATAAAGAAGATCAGAAAATGCTGGAATGAGGAAGTCATGACGGCTCTTCGTCATAAAGGATGGAGCAACATCACCCTCTGTGGACTCGAGCCCAACCGTCCATGGCATCAAAACAACACCTCCTTCTGTTCTGTCTGTCTGTGTACTATCCATACAAATGGCATTGAATGTTTGCTGTGTATGTGTACTTGTGATCTGCTCTGAGTCCCCTTCGGGGTGAGAAGAGCGGAATATAAATAAAGTGTTATTATTATATTATTTACATTCTATGGAACTCTGGGATTTGTAGAAATGGCTGAAAATTCTCAGTACACATTTTTAAGTCTCAGGTTTTGGATCTGGATCCATTGCAACCCCGACTCACCTGGCAGCCGGGAGTTGTTCCCAGGTCTGGAGAAGTTCACCTGCTGGGACTCCGGCTGCACCCTGGGCTCCGTCTCCCAGATTTCGGCTTCCGACTCGGTCGTCCTGGAGCCGACGTCAGAGACGTCCCCTTCCTCCCCTTCGGTGCTGTTGCGGTACGGCCGGCGGTGCCAGTTCTGGATGGCCTGCCTGCGGAGGCCCGACCCACGCACCGCGTTGGACCGGTCGAAGCCACCGTCGGAGCCACGGCTTTGGCCGCTCTGGTAGTCTGCGTTCTCCTCTCCATGGTACAATTCCGGGCTGTCGCTGTCGTAGCAGCCAGAGCTCTGGGACACGGCTTTGGCGTGGCTGGAGGCCCTGCAATCATAAAACCAAGTCAGCCTTAAGAGCACCCAAGTAGAGGCTGGATGTTGATCATTTCCGCTCCCTTGGCAGCCACCTCTCCACCAAAGTCAACATTGACACCGAAATACAACACCGCCTGAGCTCTGCGATCGCAGCATTTTTCTGAATGAAGCAGAGAGTGTTTGAGGACCGGGACATCCGTAGGGATACCAAGGTGCTTGTTTATAGAACTATTGTCCTCCCAACCCTGCTATATGCCTGTGAGACGTGGACTGTCTACAGACGTCACATGCAACTCCTGGAACGATTCCATCAGCGCTGCCTCCGGAAAATCCTGCAAATCTCTTGGGAAGACAGGCGGACAAATGTCAGCGTGCTGGAAGAAGCAAAGACCACCAGCATTGAAGCGATGGTCCTCCGCCATCAACTCCGCTGGACCGGCCACGTTGTCCGGATGCCCGACCACCGTCTCCCAAAGCAGTTGCTCTACTCCGAACTCAAGAATGGAAAATGGAATGTTGGTGGGCAGGAAAAGAGATTTAAAGATGGGCTCAAAGCCAACCTTAAAAACTCTGGCATAGACACTGAGAACTGGGAAGCCCTGGCCCTTGAGCGCTCCAGCTGGAGGTCAGCTGTGACCAGCAGTGCTGAAGAATTTGAAGAGGCATGAATGGAGGGCGAAAGAGAGAAACGTGCCAAGAGGAAGGCATGTCAAGCCAACCCCGACCAGGACCGCCTTCCACCTGGAAACCGATGCCCTCACTGTGGGAGAAGATGCAGAGCAAGAATAGGGCTCCACAGCCACATACGCACTGACAAGAACACTGGAAGACAATCATCTTCGGAAAACGAGGGATCACCTAAGTAAAGTAAAGTAAAGTAAAGTAAAGTAAAGTAAGAGGCTGGATGGCCATCTGTCAGGACGGTTCTGGCAAAAGGGGGTTGGAATGGATGGCCCTTGGAGTTGCCTCCAAATGGATGATTCTATGATACACTGCCTAAAACTGTGGCATTGGGGGCTCTGCGGTGGTGGCTGGAGTGCGGAGGGATGATGTGTTATTTTGTGATGTGTAATTTCATTGTGCATTGACAGTAAAGTTATTCTATTCTATTCTATTCTAAAGAGTCTGGACCAAATGAGTCATAAGAGGTGGGCATACAAACCCTCCCCAAACCTATATGGGCAGTTCATAACATCAGTATCAGCATCAGCACCGGCATTTGGGTGTCAATTTCTTAAGGCTCATTTGGTCCAGAGATTGATGAATTGATCTGGCTACCAGTATTAAAAAACTCTAACATTACAACAGCACAACAACAGAGAGGAAACAGACAAGGACATCTAATCACCTCTCAACAAAAAGATTGCTTGAGGCACTGCCAGGCCATTATATGCTAATCAAGGTGGTCAGTTGAAACATTCACACCTAGCTCCAGCAGACAAGAGTCCTTTGTCCCACCCTGGTCATTCCACAGATATATAAACCCCCTTTTCCTAGTTCCAACAGACCTCACTACCTCTAAGGATGTTTGCCATAGATGCAGGTGAAATGTCAGGAGAGAATGCCTCTAGACCATGGCCATATAGCCCGAAAAAACTACAACAACCCACTGATGAATTGTTGTTTAGAAGTCTGGTGGAGTCTCCTTCTCTAGTATGGGGAGTTAGCTGCCTTGAGTCCCCACAAGGAGAACTGCAAGGTATAAATAAAGATAACAATAACAAGTATGAGCTGTTCAACAGTGGAAATCTCTGCCTCAGGGTGTGGTGGAATCTCCCCTTGAAAACCTTTAAACAAAGGCTGGATGGCAATCTATCAGGGACACTTTGTGCTTTCCCTGCATGGCCCGAAGTTGGATTAGATGACCCAAGTGGTCTCTTCCAACTTTATTATTCATTGATTCTATGAAGAACAATAATTCAGTAGTGGGTTTCAAACAGAGGTTGGATGGGCATCTGTCAGGAGGGCTTGGTTGGTCCTGGGGGTCTCCTCCGACTTTATGATTCTATGAACTTTCAGAATGGAAACCTTCAAGTTGGAAGGGATGGTGGTGGAGTCCATGTGAAAGGAATCTACGTGCTTTAGTAGATCACAAGATGAACATAAGCATACAGTGTGATGCGGCAGCTAAAAAAGCTAATGCGATTCTCCAGGCTGCATCCATAGGAGTTTGGTGACCATGGAGGGAAGTCATAGTCTCCCTCTCTTCTGCTTTGGTTGGACCTCACCTGGAATAATATCCCTGTGTCCAGTTCAAGAAGGAGATGGAGAAGACAGAATGTATCCAGAGAACAGTGTGATGTAGCAGTTTGGTGACCATGGAGGGAAGTCATAGTCTCCCTCTATTCTGCCTTGTTTAGACCACACATGAAATACTGTGTCCAGTTGTGGGCACCACAATTGAAGGGAGATGTTGAAAAGCTGGAATGTGTCCAGAGGAAGGCGACTAAAATGGTCAAGGGTCTGGAGAACAAGCCCTATGAGGAGCGGCTTAAAGAGTTGGGCATGTTTAGCCTGAAGAAGAAAAGGCTGAGAGGAGATATGATATAAATATGTAAGAGGAAGCCACAGGGAGGAGGGAGCAAGCTTGTTTTCTGCTCCCCTGGAGACTAGGACGCAATAGAACAATGGCTTCAAACTACAAGAAAGGAGATTCCATCGGAACATGAGGAAGAACTTCCTGACTGGGAGAGCTGTTCAGCAGTGGAACTCTCTGCCCCGGAGTGTGGTGGAGGCTCCTTCATAATAATCATTATATGGTCCAGTTCAATATCCAAAGTGCTGTTATGCCTGCTAGCCAAACGCCTGGTTCCAAAACCACAATTTCAGTTTTTTCCTCAAGGAAAGGAGGGAGGATGCCAATCTGATCTCACTGGGGAGCGAATTCCACAAGCGGGGGGTCACCACCGAGAAGGCCCCGTCCCTCGACCTCACCAGACGCGCTTGCGGGGCTGGTGGGACCAAGAGCAGGGCCTCCCCGGTGGATCTTAAACTATGAGGCAGAACATAGAGGGAGATATGTTCGGAGAAGTAAGCTACGCTGGAGACGTTTAGGGCTATATAGGCCAAAACCAGCACCTTGAATTGTGCTCGGAAATGGACCAGCAGCCAGTGGAGTTGACATAACGGGGGAGGGGGGGTGCTCCCTGTATGGCGCTACCGGTAAGCAGTCTGGCTTCCACCCATTGAACTAGTTGAAGTTTTCGAACAGTCTTCAAAGGCAGCCCCACAAAGAGTGCGTTGCAGTAATCTATCCGGGATGTAACCAGAGCGTGAACCACTGTGGCCAGATCAGACTTCCCAAGGTACGGGCGCAGCTGGCACACAAGCTTTTACTGTGCAAAAGCTCCCCTGGCCACCACCGAGATCTGGAGTTCTAGGCTCAGCGATGAGTCCAGGACAATAATAATAATCATAATAATAATATTTATTTATACTCCGCCACCATCTCCGCGATGGGGACTCGGAGCGGCTTACATGAGGCCAAACCCAAACAACAATTACAATAAAGAAAAACCGAAAACGCAAACCGAAAACGCAAACAATAAACAACAACATTGTTCTGGTACAGCTGTACCAGGAGCTCCAACTTCTTTTTCTTTCTTTGAGTGTTTGCATGTATTCCAAGGTTCCATGCATTTTGCAATAAGGTGGCTTCCCTTGGTTTGCAATTATAGGGCTAATAACCCATCAAACATCATTAGGTTCTTTAGTTCCGCCCCTTTTTCTGAATTAAGGAGGGAAAAAGGAGACCTCTAGTTCAGTACTCACAGAGAAGCCTTTCGTACAGGACGTGAATCAGTTCCACCTGTAGAAAGCTTTGTCTTTTACAGCTTTGCTGGGGGATCCAGTCCCACAGCTCTACAGAGAAGCTTAGCTTTTGCTAGGGGGATCCAGTCCCACAGCTTAGCCAGCCAGCCTTCGCTGGGAATTGAAGACCTTCTTTCCTCTTGGAAATCTACAAAAGGACTCTGTTTGGTAAGGACCACTCGCGGCAGCCATAACGCAATTTGGACCAGGTGTAGAGGCCCACACCAGCAGAGCCTAAAACAGATTGCCCAGGTAGAGGTCAAGGATTTCCCTGATAGTGAAGAAACAGTTCACGAAAATAGTTGCCTGTCCCTTGTGGACAAGATTAAGAAAGCCACCAGTTGATTCAAAGCCTTGAAGCATTTGTTTGATTTATTGAAGACCTAAGCAATAATAAAGAACTTTGTTAAACTTTCCAAGTTTCTAAAGACTTTGTGTGGGGAAATCCAAAGGACCTCTAATCTGAGGCACCCCGTCCCATTGTCCCATTAGGCATACAGAAAACACGTCCTGTCTACAGACTCTTTCACAGGCCCAGCGTGTGACAGCACAAACATCATAATTACATAAAACATGTGAATACATAACAATATAAAATTACAATAAACACAAACACAATGACAATGGGCGGGCTGCATGTAATGATTAAAAGAATAACTGATTAAAAACTAATTAAAAACTCGGGCGAGCAGTTGCAAACCTTGGATTGTGTTCTCCTGTCTGGCGGAATAAGGTTGGACTAGATGGCCTTTGGGGTCCCTTCCAACTCTGGCATTCTATAAAGATGAATCCAGCACTCCCGCTTTCTCCCCTTGAATGCCATCTCTTTCTCCTCATTGCTTAAGCTAAACGATCCATTTTCTTAACTCATTTTTTGAGCTGGAGCGTGGGGGGTAGCTGCAAAATTCCCATTTAGGGACCTTTTTCTTTCTTAGACAAGAAGCATTGGCAGAGAATAAATGAGCCTAAAAGCTGCATATATTTAAATAAAGGGATGCGTTTCAGTGAGTTGCTGAATGTCATTTTTCTCATCCTCTAAGTTAGGATGTAAATCTTCATAAAATCCATTCTCGCAGGTGGGAAAAGGCATAATTTTACCATTTTTCTCTTTACAGATAGAAAGCCATTAAAAGCTTGGTGACTACTCTTAATTCTTGATTTATTCTGTGCCAAAAGATGCACTTGGGGTTTTGTGCATGGAAAACATCAGGGGGTGTCCTATGCAGATTTTTCGGTAAAGAGAACACACATTCTGTGCTGAAATGTTACTTTCGCCGTAGACAATATTGGGTGTATTTACGCTGTAGAATGAATGCAGCTTGACCTTACTTTAACTGGCATGGATCAATGCTATGAAATCCTGGGATTTGTAGTTTGGTGGGGTTCCAGCACTCTTTGGCAGAGAAGGCAAAAAACCTTGGAAAACTACAGCTCCCAGCATCCCATAGTATTGGACCACGGCAATTAAAGTGTTGGGTTGTTGTAGGTTTTTTCTGGCTATGGCCATGTTTTAGAGGCATTCTCTCCTGACGTTTCGCCTGCATCTATGGCAGGCATCCTCAGAGGTTGTGAGGATGGCCATATGATAATAACAATGTCTTACCCGCCTCTCCTCAAGGCTTAAGACATGATACAACACAGGCTGGATCTGTTTGGAACCACGTTATATGGGCACTGCAGACCTATATATATATATATATATATATATATATATATATATATATGAGGTTTTATGCAGTTAAATTACATTATGTGGATCCACACTGGCTATATAATGCAGTTTCAAACTTTTTATATCGTGTCAGAAGTGACTTGAGAAATTGCAAGTCACTTCTGGTGTGAGATAATTGGCTGTCTGCAGAAACATTGTCCAAGGGAAGCCTGAATGTGTTACCATCCTGTGGGAGGCTTCTCTCATGTCCCCGCATGGGAAGCTGGGGCTGACAGATGGGAGCTCACCCCATGTCGCAGATTCAAACCACCTATGTTCAGGTCAGCAGTTTGGCTGGCACAAAGGTTTAACCTACATTATATGGTAGCGTAGGTCCAGCAACAGTTAAAATATATGGATAAAAAGATAAGACCATTGGCACACAAAGGCAAGCTGCCTTTGTGTGACTGTATTGTTCCTTTTGCCATCTTGGTCCGCACTCCAATATGGCTTGCCTGGTTTTCATCTGTGAAATATTTGAGTGTATGTAAACTGCATATCCCATCAACCCAGGCCAGCACAACCAATGGCAGGATGGGAGTTGTAGTCCAACAACATCTGGAAGGCTGCAAGTTTCCTAGCCTTGGAAATGCTCCTAAAAGTTAGACTAATGAAAAGAAAACAGAAAAGCATGGCTAGAAATGCAGAATTGGACGGGCCAGGAAATAGCTTACCCAGTACTGGATGAAGACCTTTGGTTGGCATAGGAACTGTTGGCGGTTGCACCAGGAACCGAATGCCTGTCTCTCTGCAAAACAGAAAAAGTGGATTTTAGAAATGTTCTTGGTACCTAATTCATCATATATATCACCCAAAATATTTCTTCCTGCTTGCAAGCAGACCTTATATGGATTTTTTTACTTATTATATTTGAAAGTACAGCTTGAGCAGCCATTATCCAAAATGCTTCTGACCAAAAGTGTTTCGTATTTCTCCCTGGATATTAGAATGCCTGCACATGCACATATATGCATCATAAAATATCTTGAAGATGGGCTCAAATATGATATCGATTTATGTTTGGTATACACCTCTTGTTGTAGTAGTTACTCTGCTGGTACCAGTTACTCTGCTGGTAACGATACTACTACTAGTGGGAGTAGTAGAGGAGGCAAACGAGGTGCTTAGGTGCTTGAGGAAGAACAACAAAGGAAACGTATCCAGGAGATACTTATGTCTCCCACAGACGAAGACTCTTTTGAAGGTTTCTCAGAGAGTGAAATATGTGAGGAGGAGGAGGAGGGAGATGGGAGTAGAGGTGTCAAACTGATTACTCGTGAGCAGGAGTCTGACGAAGAACATCAGAGGAAAAGGATCCGAGACACACTTAGTGCTCCCACTGAAGATGAGGATTTCATGGGCTTTACTGGAAGTAATGGGTTTGGGAGTAGTGAGGATGAAGAAGAGCCATTAGATTGGACTCAAGTACAAGAAGTGATGAATGTGTGCATGCAACCCACATCCAATGATACGTTTGAGGGGTTTTTCTGGGGATTGGCAGTCTGGAGATACCAGGGATTCATGGGGAGACTTAAGTCTTGACAGGAGGTGGAAGAGTTGGAGAGATGGGTGTTGGCACTCAGCTGTAAAGGGTAAGACAGCTGATAGCGATGAGGAAAGGGCAGACGGCAGCTCATCAACGGATGATGAGTTGTAGGATAAAGGAAGGCACTGTAAGTTTGGAACTTTGCAGTAGGCAAAGTGTTGGATACGTGCCTTGGGCTTTGTTGCTGCCACTTCTCTTGTTGGGCTTGGGTCCTGGAATGGCAGGTTGCTGTATTCTTCGTGTGCTGACCGGCTTGGACTCTCGTAAGTGCGGATTTCCCCTCTCCTTGACCACGGACTGTTTCTGACGACGACGCTGCTTCTTGGACTTTAATATCTTCTACTGGGACTTCTTCGACTTTGGACTGCTTTTGGACGACGGTTTCTCTTCACAGCGTTTTGTTTTGGCTTTATCTCTGAACTGTGTGATTTTGGTGCATTTTGCTTGAACTCTTGTTTAATCCAGATTTTTTGCCAGTTTAATCCAGTTTATTTGCTTAGTTCATTTTTTAAGCTGCAAGTTGCTACAAACTTTGAGTTTTGGCCAGAGGCACTGAAGGAAGTGTCTCTGCGTCTTTGTTTGCTTTGATTTAATAAACTGCTGATTTGTTTACATTACTGTGTCTGGCTCTTTAAGGCATCTGGGTTCCGACACTTCTGGTGACGCAGTGGGTTAAACTGCTGAGCTGCTGAACTTGCTAACTGAAAGGTCAGAAGTTCGAATCTGGGGAGCGGAGTGAGCTCATGCTGTTAGCCCCAACCTAGCAGTTTGAAAACATGCAAATGTGAGTAGATCAATAGGTACCGCTTCTGTGGGAGGGTAACAGTGCTTCATGCAATCATGCTAGCCACATGACCTTGGAGGTGTCTATGGACAATGCCGGCTCTTCATCTTAGAAATGGAGATGATCACCACCCTCTAGAGTTGACTTGACTAGACTTAAAATTAAAGGGAAATCTTTACATCTGCCTTTTATGTACAGAAGGATGGCAATTCTATACACAATGCTTTAAAAATAATTTTGGTGTATGGCACCAAGTTTGTGCGCATTGAACCATCAGAAAGCAGAGGTATCCTTGGGTGCATCTGTACTGCAGAATTAACACAGTTTGACACCACTTTACCTGCTGTGGTTCAATGCTATGGAATGTTAGACAATTGTAGTGTGAACAAGATTTGGAAAGGCCCCAAGAAAGGTTCTATGCTGTATAATTTTCAATTACAACTATCCATGTGGTCTGATGCAGATGTCAATATGGTAGTGGATCTATAACATTACAAATGGCTTTTCTATCCAGGGCTAGAATGATTAACAATTGCAGAAGGGAGGGAGGCGAACTTTCAAAGCTGTTTTCTGGATGAAAGTTGCCAATTGCATTTAATTGCCCTGTTAAGAGGAACCTAGATGTATAATTCTATCGATTCCATAATTACAAATAGGAATGGGCAACTGCACAGGGACGGAGGGCCAATTTGGCTTTGGGCGGAGTAAAATCTGCAGACGGAAACATCAAAGATTGCACGGTTTGGTAGATTTGAGCATTAGATTAGGACTTTGGAGACCTGGGTTCAAATCCTCTATTTGCTAATACTACTATTATACCTCTGACTAATAGTTGCCATCCATATCCGTGCCCTGCTCACCAGCTCAATAGAGCAATGATTAATCAATTTGCCCCAAGAAAATGGCAAATTATTGTTTCTATTAAATGTATGATGTTTTGTCTTATGTCTGTTACCAGCCGTCCCCTGCCACGCATTGCCATGGTCCATTCTGGTGGTCATGGGGGTTCTGTGTGGGAGGTTTGGCCCAATTCTATTGTTGGTCGGGTTCAGAATGCTCTGTGATTGTAGGTGAACTATAAATCCCAGCAACAACAACTCCCAAATGTCAAGATTCTATTTTCCCCAAACTCCACCAGTGTTCACATTTGGGCATATTGAGTATTCGTGTAGAGTTTGGTCCATCATTGTTTGAATCCACAGTGCTTTCTGGAAGTAGTTGAACTACAACTCCACTACCAAAGGACACTGCCCACCAAACCCTTCCAGTATTTTCTGTTGGTCATGGGAGAACTGTGCGCCAAGTTTAGTTCAATTCCATCGTTGGTGGAGTTCAGAATGCTCTTTGATTGTAGGTGAACTATAAATCCCAGCAACTACAACTCCCAAATGACAAAAGCATTTTTTTTAGTGAAGGACATGCATTGGGTTGTTAGGTGTCTTGTGTCCAAATTTGGTGTCAATTCGTCCAGTGGTTTTTGATTTCTGTTAATCCCACAAACGAACATTACATTTTTATTTATATAGAGATAACAGGTTGTGCTTTTTATTTAATTTTAGCTTGTTAAGTTATAATTATTATTTATATGTTGGGTTGTATAAATTTTGTTATTATGGATGTATTGTTGTTGTATTCGGGCATTGAATGTTTGCCTTGTTTGGAGTCCGCCCTGAGTCCCTTTTGGGAGATAGAGCGGAATATAAAGTTGTTATTATTATTATTATACTTATTAATACAATAATAATAATAATAATCATCATCATCATCATCATCATCATAATAATTAATAATAATAATAATTGGCCCTGGAAACAGATTAGGTGATCGTGGCCAAGTCACACTCTCTCAGCCAAAGAGTAAGGTAAACCTGCATCGTACCAATATGGAAACATCATTTAATAGTTGGGTTTGTTATAAACATGAGTATTTGAGCTGAAAAGCTGAAGAAGCAGGCTCCATATGTAAAGGAAGGACTATTAAGAATATGGAGAACCACAATGCATGATGAAATGGTGAATTGGCACTCAAAGTGAGGAAAAGTCGAAGCTAAAACAGTGACCTTTAAAGCTGCTGAAATGAAGATAGACTGGTACGAATGGGATGTACTGACACCTGGGAGGAACTGTTTGTTACGAAGCAGAACTGGAATGTGGGAAACAACCTACATAAGGCATGGGTTGAAATACACCTGCAAATAATATAAAAGGGGGCTTTCCAAACGCTCGAGTCTGCCAAATAGCAGCGCTGCATCTGCACCCACCGCTTCTACGAGGGAACCAATCAACTCTTTGGGAGAAGCCTGTTGCAAGTATGAGGATGATTGAATGAGAGAGTGAATGCTTCCTTGGCACCAAGATTTTTAAATGCTTACAAAAAGTTACAAGAAGAGATCTGGTATCTTTGAGTATTCTTTGAGTATTCTTTCAGGGCTACAGTCTTGAGGGACAGTTATTCAGTTTTCCGCTCTTTTCTGAATCATTAATGAACGAACTGCTTTTGTTTACAGATTCAGGGAGAATTCCAGTCTTTGTATAGTTAGTAATGTATAGTTAGTAATGAATTCCACCTCTGGGAGCCCCCAGTGGTGCAGTGGGTTAAAGCGCTGAGCTGCTGAGCTTGTTGACCGAAAGATCGCAGGTTTGATTCCAGGGAGCAGCGTGAGCTTCCACTGTCAGCCCTAGCTTCTGCCAACCTAGCAGTTCGAAAACATGCAAATGTGAGGAGATCAATAGGTACCGCTCCGGCGGGAAGGTAAGGGCGCTCCATGCAGTCATGCCGGCCACATGACCTTGGAGGTGTCTATGGACAACACCCGCTCTTCGGCTTAGAAATTGAGATGAGTGCCACATCCCAGAGTCAGACATGACTGGACTTAATGTCAGGGAACAACCTTTACCTTTACCTTTTTTAATGATTTAAAAAGTGGGTTATGAGCATATAAATTGGACTTTTGTTGCGGTTCTTGTGTGCCTTTAGGTCAGGCATGGGCAAACTTTGGCCCTTCATATGTTTAGGACTTCAACCTTCGGCTGTTAGGAATTGTGGGAGTTGAAGTCCAAAACACCTGGAGGGCTGAAGTTTGCCTATACTTGCTTTAGGTAAACACACATGGAAAGGTTCTGTTGGAAGGCTTATGACTTGAAGTATTCACAAGGCAGTTTTGGTACTGAAGAAGCCCGATTAGACATCTGAATGCAATTTACAGCAAGAAACTGCAAGGTATATGTGCCGATATCTGCTATTAAACTGTGTATAGGACCAGTTATGGTTTTTCAACGGAAAGATCATTCAGCTAACTGACAAATCAATGAAAACAGGGCACAACTTAGTTGAGAGCCACTTAACCATTTAGCGATTTCATGCATTGAAAATGAATTGAGCTAAGCAAGCTGAACTTATTGAAAAATTGGCCTTGACAAAAGCTAGGAAATATATTTTGAGGTCATTTTTTATATTACTGTAAGTTGTTATTTGGAAATTCATATACATTTATATATTTATGTGTGTTATTTTTGTGTCATCATTTAAATGGACTTATTTTGTCCTGAATCCTGTAGAGCAGGCATGGACAAACTGTGCATTCTGACTTTTCCGTAACTTGCTATCCAATTGTTTTGACTATTGTTTCCAAGGATGGAAGCCATTGCAACATTTGGACTCTATCATGCAAGGGCAGTGTTGGTTTCCATGTTGATAAGACCATAAACATGCTCTGAATTTAGACTGAACTTGGCGAAGCTCTCCAAGGTGCTGAACTCAAGTGACAGCATGCCTTCAGCACCTTGGAGAGCTCCTTCAACCTCCATAGACAGCAATAGCATAGACCAGGCATGGGCAAACTTTGGCCCTCCAGGACTTCAACTGGCTGTTAGGAATTGTGGGAAGTCCAAAACACCTGGAGGGTCAAAGCTGCTTCAGAGCAACATGAAGGTATTAACCTTATTGATAAGGAGGGTGGGGATTATGATTCGGAAAGTGGGGGCCATGACGATGATAATAATAATAAGAATAGGTACCGGTCTTCCGGAGCTCTTGGAGCCCGGCACGCTGCATCGGCCAAGGCTGCAATTGGGGGTTGTCCCACAACTGCTGCTAATGATTTGCAGCTGCTTCTCCGCTCGGTCGGCACGGTCCAGGAGCTCCTCGATGAATTGCTGGAGGCGAACTTTGGCGTTGGCTTCGCGGGCGGCCGTCTCCTTCAGGAACTGGTCGATTTGGATCACTTCCCTGCAGAAATTGGCAAGAAGAGGGTGACAAAAGGCAAGCTTGTAAAGAACGGGAAAACAGAAATATTATGATGCATGGAGACTTCCATAGCATTGGGCCATGGCGATTCAAGTGATGCCAAATTGCATCGATTCTACAGTGTAGAGATGCACCAGAAAGGGTGTGATTCGCCCAAGGTCATTCAGGACTGAGCTGAGAGTCATGAGAGGGTCCCATCACTGTTGCCATAAGTTGGAAAGAACTTGAAAGAATACAAGAATAACACAGAAATGCTGGACCACTCTCACGACCACCATGTCAGACTACACAGAGAAGCCATTGAAATACACAAGCATGTGGACAATTTCAACAGAAAGGAGGAAAACATGAAAATGAACAAAATCTGGCTACCAGTATTAAAAAACTCTAAAATTGCAAGAGCACAACAACAGAGAGAAAACAAACAAGGACATCTAATCACCTCTCAACAAAAGTTTGCTCCAGGCACAGTCGGCCCATTGTATGCTAATCAAGGTGGTCAGTTGAAACATTCACACCTAGCTCCAGCAGACAAGAGTCCTTTGTCTCACCCTGGTCATTCCACAGATATATAAACCCTTTCCTAGTTCCAACAGACCTCACTACCTCTGAGGATGCTTGCCATAGATGCAGGCGAAACGTCAGGAGAGAATGCCTCTAGACCATGGCCATATAGCCCGAAAAAACCTACAACAACCCAGTCAAATAATAATAACAATATGAACAACAACAACAATAATAGATAGATCCTTACATGGCTTTTAAATTCTTACAGCTGACCTGGCTTTGGATATTTAGTCAAAGGAAGTTTGTCATTGCTTTCTAAGGCTGAGAGTATGTGACCTGCCCAAGATCATCTAATGAGTTTCTATGACAGATATGGATTTGAACCCCAGTCCCCTTTGTTGAACACTCAGACCACACTAGTTGTGTGTATTGTCAAAGGCTTTCATGGCCCAAAAACCCACACTAGTTGTCTTTAAATAACCAAATGGTTGATATGGAGAAAATGGAGAATGCTGGCTTTCTGTTGCTCCAGAGACTAAGGCCCCTTCTACACTGCCATATAATCCAGATTAGCAAAGCAGATAAACGGTTCTGGCCCAATTTACCTGTCCGAATGTATCTCCCCTTATGAACCACTGAGGACTTTAAGATTACCTGGGGAGGCCCTGTTCTCAGTCCCGCCTTCGTCACAAGCACATTTGGCGGGGACGAGAGGCAGGGCCTTCTCAGTGGTGGCCCCTTGGCTATGGAATGCCCTCCCTAGGGAAATCAGATCTGCTCCCTCCCTCTTGACGTTTCAGAGGCAAGTTAAAACGTGGCTATTCGAGCAAGTGTTTACAAATACAGAGTAGCTAATATAGGAAATCGAATGACCTGACAATGGAATTGGACAATGCTTGAGAATAATGAGACGCTGATGATGTTGCTTTTATTGCTTTTGTGATGTCTTATACTGTTTAATGTTTTTTATCTATTATGTTTTATGTATACTGATTTGTTTGGAAACCGCCTTGAGTCGCCAATTGGCTGAGAAAGGCGGTATACAAATACAGTAAATAAATAAATAAATAAAATAATAAAAAGTAAGGGCTTAAGGAGCTGGGCATGTTGAGCCTGAAGAAGAGAAGGCTGAGAGGGGATATGATAGCCATGTATAAATATGTGAGAGGAAGCCACAGGGAGGAGGAGGGAGCAAGCCTGTTTTCTGCTTCCTTGGAGACTAGGACGCAATGGAACAATGGCTTCAAACTACAAGAGAGGAGTTTCCATCTGAACATGAGGAAGAACTTCCTGACTGTGAGAGCCGTTCAGCAGTGGAACTCTCTGCCCCGGAGTGTGTGGAGGCTCCTTCTTTGGAAGCTTTTAAACAGAGGCTGGATGGCCATCTGTGGGGGTGCTTTGAATGCAATTTTCCTGCTTCTTGGGAGGGGGTCGGACTGGATGGCCCATGACTGTGCATCACAACTGAAGGGAGATTATGACGGCGCAAGTGGCGCCACCTATATGTAGAACTGTAAGTTGCAACATTCGAATTGTATCATGCCTGATTTTTACTTTTTACCCTGTAAATGTATAGTTGGATTGATTGGTTATTTATAGCTGTCAATCAATGTTGTTTGCACCAGTTGAATTGCTCCTCCTGCTCAATTGTTTGACCCCACCTCTTCCTAGAGAGCAGGACAGTGTTTCCTTTTCCATTCCACCATCAAACTTTCTATCAGATGGACGTGAGAAAGGGACTTGGCTCTAAAGCCCTTGATTAAGTTACCTCTCAGCACAAATTCTGAGGTTCTTACCCTTGAGACATGTTTCATGTTCAGATCAACCTGGACAACGTTGAGAAGTCTCAAGAGCCTTCAAACCAGTCCTTCGGCACCAGAGGAAGACTTTGTGTTTTCAAACATAGGCCATTTGGACTGGGGTTGTGGATTGCTCCGGCATTCACAGCCATTGAGAAAGAGGGACCTGGAAAAGCTTCTCAGCTGCAAAACTCCTTGGACCCAAGACAACCAAAGACTGTAATGTATATTTTCCTTTACCCATTTGAAACTTCCAGTTTATTGCCTTAAAGGGATAACTCTTTGTGAACAATAAAACCTATTTTGAGTTATCTACAGTGTTTTGGTCTTTTGGGAGTTCCAGTTTTCCTAAAGGAGGGCAAGAATCAATCCCCTGGGGGAAAGATGTCACGTCCATGCCTCTTTCACTAAGAGTTATAGCCTCAGGCACGACAGCACACTACGATTCTATGATTCTCTGATTTTATGAATAGTTTCATAGATATTTGGTTGAAACGGTTTATGGAGTTGCTTTAGCAGTGGATTCTTGCATTGACGGAGGGTTAGACTAGATGACCTTTAGGGCTCCTTCCAAAAAACAAACAAACACTGGACCCACCATAGAATTGGTTGACTTTCAACAACTGGGCCTTAGTTGGGGTTCATGAATGCGCAAAGAATAAAGAAATCCTTAAAACTCTTGGCAATGGAAGTTTCAAACTGCAGCGGCTGAAACCCAACAAAACTAGAACCAAGCGAATCAAACAACGCTGCAATGTTATAAAAGCTGTCAACAAAGAGCAGGAGGCAAGCACTAAAAGCCCAGGTGAAGAAGCTGGAAGGGGCCGGAGAAAAACAGAAAGGGAGCCACCCAAGGGCAGGCTATTTTTATTTGGAGCTTTTATGTAATATTTAGTGCCTGTATTATTTTTTAATCTTTGGTACATGTTATTTCCTTCTGACCACATCTCACTGCACCCATATGTACCGGCCAGCAAAGGAAAATGCTCCGGGCATCTAATGGACTCCAGGCCATGAAGGCTTATGCAATGGGATTTACATAAGAGAAGGGCTTAACGGGTCAGTAATTTGGATTCCCTGGTCTACTCCTGACAGTAAGGGCTGCTCAACATGGAACAGGCTGGGAGCCTGGTGGAGTCTCCTCCTCTGGAGGTTTTCAAGCAGAGGCTGGATGGCCATCTGTTGGGAAGGTTTGGTTGGTGTCTTCTTGCCTGATAGAATGGGATTGGACTGGATGGCCCTCAGGGGTCCTTCCAATTCTATGAACAGAAACTAACCTTGCTTTTTGAGACAGGACCATTCAGAGAAGCACATCAGAAGGATGTTGGAAGACAATTAAGTTGGGAAAATAACTTACATTATTAGAATACTAACTTGGTCTTACTCTGTATTTAATACTTAGCTAAGAAATTGACTTTCGGATGAACTAAATGCATATGCCTAAATTGTATTCATAGATTTCCTTATGCTTGTGGGTAAACAGTATTTCTTGCTGTTTCTTTCTCAGTGTTGATGTGGAGAGTGTCTGGTTTGCCCACCCTGGAACATGCAAGATATCATTGTCCTTCTTTAAGGGTCCCTTTCAAATCTATGATACTATATCTGTGTGTATGTGAATCATATCTATTATATCTATGGCTGGATATATGGCTTTGTCAGGAGGACTTTGATTACGTTTTCTTGCCCTGATGAAGGGAGTTGGATTGGATGGCCTTAAGTATTTTCTGTTGGTCATGGGGGTTCTGTGTGGGAAGTTTGCCCCGATTCTGTCATTCGTGGGGTTCAGAATGCTCTTTGATTGTAGGTGAACTGTGAATCCCAGTGACTACAACTCCCAAATGTCAAGGTCTATTTTCCCCAAACTCCATCTGTGTTCATATTTGGGCGTATTGAGTGCTTGTGCCAAGTTTGGTCCAGATCCATCATTGTTTGAGTCCACAGTGCTCTCTGGATGTAGGTGAACTACAACTCCAAAACTCAAGGTCAATGCCCACCAAACCTTTCCAGTATTTTCTGTTGGTCATGAGAGTTCTGTATGCCAAGTTTGGTTCAATTCCATTGTTGGTGGAGTTCAGAATGCTCTTTGATTGTAGGTGAACTATAAATCCCAGCAAACAACTCCCAAATGACAAAATCATAATTTTTTGAGTGATGGTCACTCCTTGTGTTGTGAGATGTTTTGTTGCCAAATTTGGTGTGATTTCATTCATTGGTTCTTTTGTTTTTAAGGTACTCATTATGCACAGAGCATTTATATATATATATATATATATATATATATATATATATAAATATTTCAGAACCATTGAATCAACACTGATTGATTTAAATGTTGACTCTTGAGTTGGCGCTTGATTGAATGGGTCTCCTCTACTTGGTCCTAGGACTAATAGAATTTGGGCCATTGCTGGACGAGGGTGAATGACTGGAATCCTGTTAAGCTTAAATTCTTTATTAAAAGGAATCAGAGAACGGAGGAACGTAAGTGGGATTTAAGGCAACAATGGAATGCAGTATAAGCTTGCAATACAGATCAATAACAATTAATAATAAGGGAATGTTGCAAATGCAAAGGAGGCTTCCGAGAGAGAAGATTTATAGCGCAAACATGTTCAGCTGTAATCTAGCATCTCGGAGTAAAGTCAAAGGAGAACATTAAACAGCAAGAGTGCCAAA